AGCTAGGCGTGCTCAATAGAGCGAGAAAGTACTTTAAGCCTGAACACCGGATGTTGCTTTACAAAGCACAGGCCCGATCGCATTATGGTGTACTGCTCTCATCTCTGTGCTGAAGCACCCCAATACCAGCTCCTTTCTCTTGACCGGATACAAAGGCGGTTCGACTTATCCATGATCCTGAGCTCATGACGCGTTACAACCCCTTAGCTGGCGCAGAGACGGTGCATCTTGTGCGTGTTGTACCGTTTATAAAACGGAGAGTGTTCCGAATAATTATTGAATCTGGTGGCAGCGGCCAAGTTCCTTCATCGCACCACACGGCGCAGAAAGAAGTTTCAGCTCCACCATCTGGGCGCTTGGTGTTCTACACTTTTCTTTTGTACCAGCAATATAGTACAGTCAATCTGTCGAAAAAAATATCGTTTCAGTGAAAAAAAAACCTAAAGGATAAGTCTTGTTTTTTCTGTTGCCAAATGACGTCAGTAAGCCACCTTGGCGATGGGCATGTTCAACTCGTAGGCGTTTTTTGAAAAACTCAAAAACACCGTCAAAAATTTTTTGAAACGCATTTTTCTTGTTTTGTATGCAGTTTAGAAACTTTTTTTTCGACCATAATTGTAGAGGGCGTTGAGTGCTACAATTTATGTCATTGTTGCAATCTCGTACAACAAAAAATGCGCATTGTTTTTTTTATTTATTTATTTATTGCACTCATGTGGTTATTACAGATGTTACATAAAGATTAGATACAGACACATGAACCCTGAAAGGGTATAGCAATTTAATTTAAAATGTCCTTAATTAAATAATATTAATAATCTACTTCAATTAAATTTAATTAAAATTAACTTGAACATAATTATTAACTAATAATTAATAACACTGATAAATAGCATTCAATAATAACAATAATAATAATTTCAAATAAAATAACATTACGTAGGAACATTAAAAAAACATAAAAAATAAATAAGGTCTTGCTTAAATTAACTAGGTACTATTTAAAATTGAAAAACTCTTGCATCGAATAAAAGCTGGTCTTTGATAAAAATGATTTCAGTAGTTTTTTAAATTTGACTACGTTTTTTTCGTTTTTTATATGTTCGGGAATTTTATTGTACACTTTCACGGCCATAGCAAAAGGTCCTGTGTGTACTAAATGCAATTTGGAATTTGGAGGGGCTAATCTTTGATGCGGTCTTAATCTACTTGGTCGTTCTTGTTGGGGAAAAAGATGAGTGTGTTTTCTAACAAACATACATAATTCCAAAATGTATATATTCGTAAGGGTTAGAATAGGTTGTAGGTGGCGCTAAAGTCTCAAAAAAGTGTTTTTTCACTTTTTCACCCTGAAAATATCATTTTAATGGAAAACTTTAAATGGCGAAGTTGTTTCGTACATAATTACCAACAACTTTTGTATAAACAATTTTTTTGTATTACTTACCGTTTTCAAGTTATAAATTGCGCAGGTATGAAAAATCCAATAGAGCGGTTTTGGGCCGTTCAAGTACACATTTGCAGTGCACATTTCAATGTACGTTTTTACTATTTTTTTTTCACTCATGAAAAAAAATAAAAATAAAACTATTTTTTTTTCAGTTTTTTTTGTTTTTCAATCATGAAAAAGCTCTATTGGATTTTTCATGCCTGCGCAATTTATAACTTGAAAACGGTAAGTAATACAAAAAAATTGTTTAAACAAAAGTTGTTGGTAATTATGTACGAAACAACTTCGCCATTTAAAGTTTTCCATTATAATGATATTTTCAGGGTGAAAAAGTGAAAAAACACATTTTTTGAGACTTTACGCAACCTACAATGCGCATTTTTTGTTGTACGAGATTGCAACAAGGACATAAATTGTAGTACTCAACGCCCTCTACAATTATGGTCGAAAAAAAAGTTTCTAAAATGCATACAAAACAAGAAAAATGCATTTCAAAAAATTGTTGAGGGTTTTTTTGAGTTTTTCAAAAAACGCCTACTAGTTGAACATGCCCATCGCCAATGTGGCTTACTGACGTCATTTGGCAACAGAAAAAACAAGACTTACCCTTTAGGTTTTTTTTTCACTGAAACGATATTTTTTTCGACAGATTGACTGTACTACAAGATCTGGAACGAACTTCCCTCAGCGGTTTCTCTTTTGGCTACGATATGACGGTCTTCAAAAAGCTGGTAAACGCATGAGTAATAGTACCCTCTTTTGGTACTGTAAGTGTCCATGGGCGGCAGTGACCACTTATCATAGGGTGGACTGTCAGCTCGTTTGCCTGCATAAACAAAATAATGATTCGCCTATTATCGTTATATTATTTTCGCCTTTCCCTCGAAACTAAAACAATTGCTATCAACATAATTTAAATAGGTATTTAGAATTGATGAAAAAAAATACACGTGCAAAGTGCGCTATCGCCTGTTAATTTAATTAACAAAAACATACTAATTAATTCATTTTATATGAGCAGCAACTCCATACTCACAAGCAACCAGTAAACAACTAAGATACCAAAGTTTTTTGTAAATCGGTTCCTTACCTACCAGGTAACTAAAGAACCTCAATAATTTGGCAATGGTTCTCGATAATCGAGTCAGTAATAAAATAATAGACAAGGAAGACGTGCCGTTTTTGCATTTTCTGCTTTTCAGTTTTTTCAGTGGTTTAATTTTATTGCTAAAAAGTTTTTTTTTTGTTTTTTGCTTTAGTTTTTGTAATATACAACTCGGCATCAAAATATGGAGTGAACAATTAAACCACCCTTAGGGTAGGATTTTTGTTACCAAATTTATCTAGGACCAACTTTGGTACACCAATACCCTATCCAATAAAAACAGGCCGAGTGGTTGTCGTGCCACGCGCGGTGTAAGGTTCCGTAGATATTGTATTGTGGTCTTTTAAGTAGTTTTTATTTAATTTTGTTTTTCAATTTAAGGTTTTCTATTATGTGGTTGGTTTGGTTTAGATTTCGAAGCATGATCACCACCGAGCTAAGCTTCAGTTTTAATAGTGCTCTACACACTTCTATAGGATGCACTAGCCAGGTGCTTCTCTAGTAGTTTAAAGAGTCAATCCAATAAATTGGTGGCTACGACTTCGTCTATTTTACAAGCAATGCGGAGTACCAACGACGTGTTCCTGAATTAAGAAGCTTAAATCATCCGCATCTGTCATCTTAGCCGCCTGAAATTTTTTGAATTAAAAGGTTGTTCGGGAATATTTTGTTAAAGAGCTTACTCTCAGATGAGACCAAAATTACAGCAATTTGGAGGAAATGATAGTCAGCAATAGCTGGGAAAAATCTTCAGCAGATCGATCGGTAACCGTCATGTTTCCTGAAAACTGAAACATCTTCACGTAACGCCACAGATTTTGATAATTTGAGGCCAGTGTTTATTTGGCAGTGGCAAAAATCTCCGAAATTATCACGAGAGGACTGCCAAAACCACTTATGGCGGTTTTTTGATCAGAAGCCCCAAAATTTTTATAGCAATGTGATCATGTCCCTATCTACAAAATGGCAAAAAGTAATGGAACAAAATGGCACCTACATACTTTAGTTAAATGTAAATAAACTTATTTAAAAAATGTTTTAAATTTTCATATAAAATACGAAGAAACTTTTTCCCAAACCTAATATATAGATTTACTGGCCCTATATTTATTTTATTTACTACAAAGAATTTTCTCGGAAATCGACAAGCAAAGAGCTACATGCCATATTTTTTCCAACTTTTATACGCAGTAGTAATAATAATTTTAATTTTAGAATACATCCCCCAAAAGTAGTGCTCATATTCGTTATTTATTTATTTACTTTATTTTTCCGTCTTTGGGTCACGGACAATGTTTGTACCAAATTTTAATATGTACGGTCAAGAAGAGACAGACAGACAAACGTGTTAGTCTATAAGGGTTCTATTTTTGCTGATTGAAGTACGGAACCTTAAATTTATCGGCCCTGGCCTGTACTACTGTACTGTCTATTTCCTTTGGTCACGCCATTCTTTGAGAACGTGTTTACCGATTTACTTTTTTTTAATTTTTCTAATACTCCGTAGAAGGAGCTTACGGTAAAAATTAGGAAAGTTGCGTAGAAACTTAAAAAAACTTAACAAAGTTAATTTGACAGGTGGCGCTGCAGTCGGTCATTAGTTTTATTTTAACATTGTTACCGAGCAGGAAACATTTGACGGGTCAGTAAGTTAAAAATTGAAATCGTAAACTTTTCTATTCAAGCAAAAGTGGGTTGTGTCTGTGTTGGTACAAAAACATTAATAATATTATACATACCCTCAGTGAATGGACTATTTCTGTGTCCTTAAAAACTGTCTGTTTTTATTTCAGTAGGTTCAATCTTCTCGAGTATTAACAATTGGAAGGGCTCGATTTTATTTTTGTCTTGTAGTGACACAAAAGTCATACACAAGTATACTGTACCCCTAGCACGAATCAATATCGAATTCGTATCGTTTGCGAGTCCGAAATGTCATTGTCAAATGTGTACTGATTTTTAGTTCTCGTTACGTTACTTTGTGCCGCTGCTGTTCAAGTGTCCATACAAAATTTGACATTGACATTTCTGTTTGCGAACTATTCGAATTCGATAATGGTTCGTGCTAGGGGTACAGTATAGTGAACAACGTGTGCGTGCATTACTCTGCATTTAATAAGTCGCATCGGATATTTGTGCCGGACACTGCCTACGTATCTGACTAGATTGCAGCGACCTCTGCCCTTTGCCATCTCCTCACTTATCTAAGGTATAAAGAAGTCAAAATGATGTATTTATTCTCGATCCTGCGCTCATTAGTGTTGCGCCCCGCTGAAAATAGATAACGTTGCATTGTGTTTTTATTGATATGCTCACCAAACGTGAATGGTGGAGGTCTACTCGTTGATCAAAGGTCACCCGGCCCTTCCCGAGTCAAATAGTTCGTAATAATAGATAGTTACATCTAGATACAAACGGTATAAACCATTTGTCACAGTGTTTTTTATTAAATGTTCTTTTTTAAACGCGGTAAGTTTATTATTACTTTTTTTAATACTACTTACATTAAATCTTGAGCAAATTTATCTAGAAAAAATCCATTCGGTCCAGGTTTCAGACGGGATTTTTTTCCAGTATAATTTTCTTTACATTTAAAAATCTAGCAGTTAAATGTTTAAAGTGAAAATATAATAATCGAATTAATTATGTATAAGTAAGTAATTTTAACAACAATAAATTACCGTCCTTCTATTTATGTTACATAACGTTTTCATTGGCATTATGAGATATATTTATTATTTATGTAGTACACTTACTTTTTGTTTATGTAAATATTTATTTGTATTTATTTATACGTTACTTAAACGGCGGGTGATGAGGTGAGGATCCGGCTTTTGCAATAGTGTCACCGATAATGATAAACCCTAAAAGACGTGTAAAACGAAAAGGAAACCGTTAACGCAAAATCTTAGTAGCGACTATAAAATAGTGTCTAGTTATTATTAACATAAATAAAGTACCCACTTAATATCGTACTGGCCTTTGCCCACTTGTTAATCTTCGTGGATTTCTAAAGCACACGAGGAACTTTCCAATATATACTTCCGGACACTTCAATGGGCCCACTTTGTTACATTATAAGTTATAACGGTCTGTAGCAAAATAATAATAATAATATATTAAAAATAATTTTAATAAATCAGCTTCAAAACTACGTAAAAGCTTTTGTTCAATGAAACATTTATTTTTAGCTAGGGACTGTCAACATTTATAATATAATGGTGCGCCGATAGTCCGGAAATGTATTATATGTTTTTCTTTGTGATATTCCATTACTTACGAGTTTCTGGTAGGAAAACTTCTGTCTCCAAATTTGAAAGGTTTTAAACAATATTAAGGAGGTACTTCCCATGTTCTTGGCTATTGTTAGTATAACCAAAAATGTACATACCTCCTAAACGATCCATGATCGTTTAGGCGTAGTCACGGCCAAGTGCTCATAAAGTGGCCAGCTACACATAAATGGTGCTCGGAAATCGTAAGATTCGCGTAATAGAAGTAAACCCTAAATAAATTAGAATTTTCAGTTAAATATGTCATGACAATTTGAAAGGAAATCCTGCATAATTTTATTTTAGATTTAGATAATGTGTTTCAAATACGAAAAGCGGTTCCCCTTTTACATTCTTGAATTATGCATGATCTTATGTATAGGTAAGTACCTACGTTAGGTACAATATCTAACCCACCTATAATAATTTCTGGTGAAATATCTAATCTACCTATCAAAATTTACATATATCATGTTCTAGAACCGAAAGAAAGCAGAATGCGCCAGCCAGAAAGAACCATTAAATAGACAGCGCAGCATCAAAACTTTTAGCCGAAGAGCCCGAATACTTTTAGCATTTTCTCGAATTGGCTATTTAGAGGACCAAATAAATTATTAAATACCTAACATAGCATCTAGTGCGGTACCTTTGATGCTCTGCCACATAATATCAGTGAAATGTGGTGGGAAATAGAAGTTTTATTGTTTTTATTTTATTTTGTTTTCTTGATTTATTATTATTAATTAGACACTTCATGCTTCAAAACTGCTAGATTCATAAGCCTAAATGAACACTCGCGTGCAATAAATGCGGGTCAGTCAGTTCTATTTCTATAATCAGCTAAGCGAATATGATTTTTTTATTAGTCACAATGTCACATGAAATTATTTATTTAAACGGGCTGACCGTTTAAATAAATAATTTCACGTGACATTTTGACAGCAGATGTAAAAAAAATAATTCAGATAAATAGTATACAAATCATTACTTTTATAATTACAGAACACAACAATTACTATGACATTTAACCCGTCCATTTACACTGCTCTTGAGTGTAATGTGACAAATTCGATTACAGTACCTACAGTACAGAGCGAACACGTGGTTTGTATGTGATTGTGACTATTTGTGACCGCTCTTATTGGATCGAACATTGCCCGTCCTTATTTGGTTCGCCCAATGTTTACCGAGTGCAAAATATCGAATATTGATAACAACCAAGTAGTTGTGTTTTTTGTTTGATAATTACTTATAGAATAATTATTATTATATAATATACCTATTATCTCATGAAAATACTCATAGATAGCTCTTCGCCAATTCGATATTGGCAAAAACATTAAAATAGAACAACCACATTTCTGAAGTACACTTAAGACACTTAACAGCATTAGGAGTCTTATGTCAACAGGTATCAACCCAAATACATAGTAAACAGCGACTCACATTTTCATATTTGGCCTTAACCAGATCGTTGTTCAACCTTTTTGGAGGGGCTGTACTGTACAATAACAGATGTAAAGTTACTAATAATAGTGCTGTGCTATATCAAATTAGTGGTTATTAGCGGTATTGCTACCGCTAATAGCCTAATAACTACTATAACGTTAGTGACCATGAACGTTTTATATCAAAGTAGACTCAGTGTTAGTAGACCTGTGGGGGCAGGTGGCATGGTAGTCGACATCAAGCGAGTCGGGAGAACCCATTGGATACGGAAAGCGCAGGACCCTTGTGTTTGGAAATCCCTAGAGGAGAACTAAGTATGTTCAGCAATAAACGTCCATCGACTGATTATGAAATTATTGATGAGCTGATCTATTTTTTTCAACAGCCATGGAGTTGGTGTCGTTTGCAAAGGAGATGCTGCAGAGTGGGGCAGAGCACGCGGCTAGTTACCGCCTAGGGCAGACCGCTTTGAGGCACCTGGACCGCGCGCTGTGGGTCGTCGAGAAGTGCGCCCGTTGGGCAGTTCCTCCACCGCGTAAGGACCACTGTTATTGCTACGTAGAATAAGGCAACGTGTCGGTATTGTAGACACTGGCAGTGTTAAAACACTAAGATCTTTATAGTCAATCGTTCGATCGTTAATCAAACAAAAAAGAAAATTATGACTAGAAAAAAATCAACTTTGACCAGGTATCAAGTTGGAATTTTTCCAGCTTCGAATCGGCAATACACTGATCGTTCTTAAATCGACCTTTTTTATTTTTTATACGAGCCTCGACAAATTGCCCCTCCCCACCTGATGTCCATTGTAAGTGGTGTCCAGTCGCGAAGATAAAAGATGTGGCAAAAAGTGTACCGCTCCAGCTTCACCTTGCCGTCCTGAAGCCAATCCCCTACCCCGCGGTGCTCTAGAACCCTAAGTACTCACCAGCAGAAACACAACACCACCAAAAGGTAGCGTTGTTTTGCTGTAGTCTTCTGTAAGGCGGATGTTGCTTGCCTAGTCGGGTGCTCCAATTTGAGTGGAAATTCCGCTGTGCTCTAACTCTCTTATGTTATCTTAAGATGCATGGCACTACAATCTCGTTCGTATAATAACGTTATGTCTTAATAGATTCGGAGCTCCCTGTTCAACTTTATAGAATATTTACTTCCATAGCGTGTGCTTTTCTTAATTAATGCTTTTCTTAATGTTCGTCCTCGGCGGACATTTTCATTACAATTCAGACTTTTGTTCTCCGCAAAAAAAAGTCCTTCGTCTACGCAGGCCATAAGATAAATTGCGTTTTAGGGAACCGAATCGCTAGAGCAACGAGCCTTCTATGCCAATTCGCCACCGCCGGTTTTTTTAAATATTCCCGAACGTTAACTGACAAAGAAACGTTTGATATTTCTATAATTATCAAATATTAATTTAAAAATTACAGTGGACCAAGAAGACAGGCCACAGCCAGAACTGGTGCGCCCGCTGCCGTGGATTTTCTTCCTTGCGTTGCTTATAACATTGCGAGTGACGCGTGAGTCGATATCGCTCATCAACTTAGTCATGGGGAAGCCGCCACTACGATCAGCTGATGTGGTAAATTATTTCAATCTTTATTAGTGATAGATACTACTATTTGGGATTGTTAGATCGATCCTTGTCTTGAGTTCGTTTAAAAAAGTATTCGACCAATGATATACAACTATATGAGCTTTATTCTATCTATATACGTGAATCATCTGGCAAATTAGTCCACTTCGAAATGATGCTAAGTGTGAGTGCTCAGTGGTGTCTAGTTGTGAAGGTAGTTTATTCTATTAATGGTGGATCACGTACCCATTACCATATCTCCATGATGCAGTGCCGGCCTATTCGCTTACTTTTTAACATTTATAATAGTGTGTAACCTTAGTTTAAAACAAAAAGGGAAGATACGGCACTCGCGGCTCAAAAGTGATCCGCATACATTGTGGTGCACGATCACAATTCGCTGTAGTCACAATTAGACATTCAAACACGCTGCATGTACATTCAATATAACAATATTGCGTGTATTCTGTGTTATAAAGATAAAACAATGCCTTCGATGCTTTTATAAAGAACACAATAGGTTCAAAATCAAATAACAAATGCCTCGGCAACACTTCTAGTTCGTAAAACTGTAAAATCATATTTTTCTCAAAAATCATCTTCTGTTCACACTCGGAAGCTGATTCGCCGTTACGCTCGCTTTGCGTTGAAGCGTACAGTTCTGTCTCGCTTACTCGATTGAATGTTATTTACAGACGTGTGCGTGTGGGAGAGTTGCTTATGTAGTTGAGTCGGATCATATTTTATTTTATGCTAGTATGAGCGTACCGTACCTTCCCTTTTTGTTTTAATCTAAGTGTGTAACTAAAGAGAAAATTGCATATCGATCGATGCTTTTCAGAACAAATATCTTAGTGGCGTTATAATAAAGCAGTAGTGGATCACTATATAACTCGGTGAATATCACTTCCATCTGTCAAAAGCAGTAAACGAATAGGCCTACTGCTCACCTTATTCACTGGGAATCTAAATTTTATAAGATAAAAAATATTTCGTCGTGACGCGTCCGAAAGGTATCGATTAGAAACAATACGATTAACGATTTAGATAGACCGCGTTTGGCTTGTGTTGCAGCAAGAATACAACACACTGTTATATTTTTTTTCTAACCATACTAAGGTCCACTTGCAGCAATTTTGCTAAATCTCGATTCAAGTTCAAGTAGATTTAACGCATAGAAAATGACAAAAAGTTTTGACATTTTAATAATTAAACTAGAACTAGATTTAACCCATAAAATAATGATTATTGAAGGAGCTAAAAGTAGTGTAGTTAAATTGAGATTTAGCGAAATTGTTGCCAGCGTACTTAAATGGATGAAATCGCTATGCTTTTGAAAGTCGTGGCCGGGAATTTTGGGATATAAACTGCTAGGCACTTAACGAAATCGTTTGTCAAAACTCAGGTGATGTACATACAAAGCAAGCGGCGGTACTTGCGAACCCTCAAGTACCAGGGTAACCGAATGATGCGAGCACGCAGTTCCACTGGTGATTCCCAACACAGCACTTGGTATAGTCGCCTAAAGGCATTACTCGAACCAACGATGTGCTTCCGTTCTACGCACAACTACGGGAACAACAACACCACGCGGCTCAGCAACAACGACGAGGTGTTGGTAAGTATTGACACTAACTACTCTAACATAATACACAAATAACATTAGCTACACTATCTATCATAACACACACATAGTAGACTACGAATCAAACCTAATAGCAACTGTGAAGTTTGCGCAAGTCGCGGGGCTCCACTGGTGATTCCCAACACAGCACGTGGTACAGTCGTTTGAGGGCATTACTGGAACCAATCTTGTGCTTAAGCACAACTACGGGAACAACAACACCACGCGGCACAGCAACAACGACGAGGTGTTGGTAAGTATTGACACTAACTATACTAACATACTACTCAAAGATCACCATGTGCTTCCGTACTACGCACAACTACGGGAACAACAACACCACGGGGCTCGGCAACAGCGACGAGGTGTTGGTAAGTATTGACACTAACTATACTAACATACTACATAAAGATCACCATATGCTTCCGTACTACGCACAACTACGGGAACAACAACACCACGCGGCTCAGCAAAAAAGACGAAGTGTTGGTAAGTATTGACACTAATTATACTATACATAGATCACCATGTGCTTCCTTACTACGTACAACTACGGGAACAACAACACCACGCGGCTCTGCAACAACGACGAGGTGTTGGTGAGTATTGATACTAAATACACTAACATGCTATAATCATTCACTATCTACACCATCTATCGTACTCGACGATATTAAATACCCTAGATACACGAGCACTCAAAATGTGTCCCAATCAAGAAGTGCTTGAACTCCACTCAAGCACTTCTTGGTTCAGTCACGCGCGGACCTTTACAAAGTAACGATGCCGCAGCGCTCCGTTAAAAAAAACGAAAAAAACAAACATATAGTACGAAAAGTGTCGTTTTTTTGGACAGGTATCTAAACAATGTTTGTTAATGTAATGCATTTGAAGCAAATTTTGTTCTAATACTTACTATAAACTGATTTAATATAAAATATTTGTGATATTGAAATGCATGGTCGGTTATAAGTCGCCGTATAGCCGTCTCTTTTCCTAGGGATCCGTACTTGCTATATTGCTAACAGCGCATACAGAATTGCGCATACAGTTAAAAGAATAAGGTCTATATTCTTCCGCATACAGCAATAAGTCGTAAAATTTTACGAGCTTGCATTTCGAACTGTCAGAAGTCTTTAAAGCATGCTTTTAAATTAAGACCTTATATATTATGCATTAATGGTGACTTTCAGTGTTTAAATAATGCCTTATATGGTTTTTGACTACGCGATCACCTTACGGAGCTCTGTGTGGCTCCGTGTTCTGTTACAATGTACCTTTTGGACACATTACGGCCACGATTTTGTTCGTGTGCGACAAGGATCTTAACGAATGTGGAAAATTGGAACTAACGCCACCGTCTTTGTAAACGTCATATTTTTTATTGCATTTACGGTCATTTACGTAGACAGTGGCGCTCTTCCTGACTGACACTTTCATAAAGATCCTTGTCTTACTGTAGTACTGTAGACTGCGATTAAAACCTAATAGCGGCTGTGAAGTTCGCGCAAGTTGCTGCGCAGTATACAAAATTTAATATGATATAAGCGTGCGGGATATCACTAAACTGAAACCTGCGCATTGTTGCACTCGCTGCCTACTTCACAGCCGACTTGAAGTTTGCATCGCACTATACCAGAGTAACAGAACATGGGATAGTCGCGTACAAGTGTTATTCGAGATTTCCTTGTACCTCCGTACCAGACATAAGTACGAAAGAAAGTCGCTTGAGTACATTGCTTGAACCAACCATGTGCTTCCGTACAACTCCCAACTACGGGAATAACAACACCACGCGGTGCAGCAACAACGACGAGGTGTTGATGACTATTAATATGAGCTACAGTATCATGCTAATACACAATACTGATCATCGTCAGCTTCCCCACTGCTGGAGCACAGGCTTTCCCTATGGATGGAATACTGAGAATAGGCAACGACCCACCATTTAAGCTCAGTGCGGATTGGTAGACGATAATGTTATTGACTCTGTAGTCGTCCATCGCTGTATCTGTATGCAGCAGTGACCAATAATTCAAAGTGCCTTCATTCCTGCAAGCACGGAGGAGGTCGAGATAACTAGTTTTTGAAATCCATCCTATGACCAAATAGAAATGACGAAAAGGAATAACCTATATGATGACCACCGCGGCCGAGCGCTTTGTACGCCAGGTTTCATGGTGTCGCCGACTCGAGAGGCCCCGAGTTCGAATTCCGGTGGGGCAGATGTTTGTGTGATGATTACGAGCATTTGTACACCAGTCATGGATGTTTAATATGTATTTCTATTTAAATATACTTATTTCAGTACAGTATATGTATTCTGTCCGTTACCCTAGCTAGACTAGGCTAGGCTAATTGGTGTAAGTGTTGAAAATATTTATCTATTTATTTACCTATATAGATGATTTCCCAGTGACTACTTGAACCCTTGATTTAGCACCTGACTTTCAGAACCTGTGTTCAATTGTATAATATTTACCCATTCCGCGATCTCTTTAATATCTGTTTGGATTAGAGCTAATTGACATTTAGTTTTGAAAAATAAATTTTAAATCGCATAAAGAGAAAATTTGATAAATTTAGGTGCATACTCTACAAATATTCTTCGAAATCGTAGAGTAAAAAATATATATATAGCAAATTTTTAAATATTAAACTACACTATTTAGCATTTCTTCTTCAATATTGTATACGAATGCCGAAAGTGCTTTCACTCGCATAATTGATAAATTTTAGGGCGGCGGTAAAGCACAATAAGCTTGGGCGAAAGTGTGAGGCGCCGGCACGGGGGCGGTAACGGGCGCGGATTCCACTAGGCAATTAAAATTAGTTAATTGATCTTAGGCCTTTACAGACAATCATTGAAATAATTAAATTTAGATCTCCACTCATCAACATTAATATAATAGGAAGATAGTTCGACAAAATTGATAGCTAATCTTTAAAAAAAAACACCAAATCGCATTTATCTATAAAAACCTTAGATTAAAACAAAAGGGGAAGCAACGGCACTCGCGGCTCAAAAGTGATCCGCTTAAATTGTGGTGCATGACCACAATTCGCTTTAGTCACAATTGGACATTCAAACACGCTGCATGTGCACTCAATTTAACAATATTGCGTATATTCGGTGTCATAAAGATAAAACATTGCCTTCGATGCTTTTATAAAAAACACGAAATAGTTCAATATCAAATAACAAATGCCTCGGCAACACTTTTCATTCGTAAAACTGTAAAAACATTTTTCTCTTTAAAATCACGGTTTATCGTGAATTTAATTTATGTAATCGCCATTTTGTTATCAAGATAAGGACAAAAATACAGCTCAGCCGTACGGACTCGGAAGCGAACTCTCCGTTTCGCTCACGCTGCGTTGAGGCGTACAGTTCTGTCACGCTCGCTCGATTGAATGTTTATACAGACGTGTGCGTGTGTGAGAGTTGCTTATGTAGTCGGATAATATTTTATTTGATCCTAGTATGAGCGTACCGTATCTTCCCCTTTTGTTTTAATCTAAGATAAAAACCAAAAGTGCTTTCATACGCATAATCAATGAATGTTAGGGCGGTGCGTTGTCTGCAGGTAGTGAAGCGCAGTAAGCGCGGGCGACAGGCGGTAGCGGGGGCGGGCGCGGTAGTGGGTTCGGGCGCGAGCGCGGATTCCACTATGGACCGGCTAATAGAGCGGATGATGCAAGACCTAGATGCGGACTCGGATGATGATTCTAGTTTCACGGTAGGTAACTTTGGAATTTTCTGTAACCAAGGGGAAAAAAACGCTGGTTCTCAGTCACATATACTGGGGACAAACGAAAAAAAATACCATTTTATGCTAGTGGTGAGATATGGGTCATCAATATTGTTGCCACTGGTAACACAGTTAAGACGAAAAAAATCGCAGTCGTCTGTGGTGTAATACGTAATTACACTACGTTTAGTTGCGTTACTATGGGAGTTTAATAAAGAGTATTTTATGTATCAAGATTCACGCATACCCCGCTGCTGTCTAAGACAAAGCGGTGCAATATGGGACTCCTCTTGCCTCTCACTTTACGTAAAAGGCAGAATCGTTCTTTATTATTTCAAAGGAGCTTTAAACACCCATATTGGCTCGCATAATGGTAACACACTTGCGGTATTACCTCTCTCTTGTCTCTCTCTTTGTATATATCTATTTCCTTTCCCAACTTTAAGTCTTACCTCTCTCTTGTCTCTCTCTTTGTATATATCTATTACATCTATTATTCATTATTTATTTTACCATACCTGCTACACCTCCCCCCCTTCTTGTTCCTCTTATTTATTTATTTCACTGTCATGGGTTGCCTGGAAGAGATTGCTGTTTAGCAATAAGGCCGCCTATTGTGTACGTTTTCACTGTCATGTTTAATGTCTTGTATGTCCTGTGAGGTGTATGTCAATAAAGAATATTATTATTCTCTTTATTTATTGTATACCATATTGATTACATTTTTAAATATTGATATAAAAATAAAAACATTTAAAAATATAAAAAATAGAAGCCAACCGGCAGCGGGAACAGGGTCCTAGCTACCGGTGGTTAGGGCCCCAGAGAGAGGAACCTCCTCACAATGCGAGCCGTGTCAAGGAGCACTGCCTTCTGTATCAGGCCCTTGATCCAGTCACCCAACTCGAGCCTCCGCAGATGACAGTCGAAGCTCTTAGCTATCAGGCCATTGACTGTCACAACTATCGGCACAATGATAGCCGAGTCAACATCCCACATGGCGACAACCTCATGAGCCAAGTCAAGATATTTTATTTGTTTATCTTTCTCGGCTTTCATGAGGTTCTCGTCATGAGGGATGGCCACATCAACTATCATTGCGAGGCGCTTTTCCCGATCTATCATCACTATATCAGGCTTATTAGCAACAATAGTCCTGTCAGTGATGATAGATCGGTCCCAGTACAGCGTGATATGACCACTTTCGAGAACTGGGTCGGGCACATACCTGTAATATGGCACCTCAGAAGCAACAAGGTTGTATTTCAGGGCAAGCTGCTGATGGATAATCCTGGCCACTTGGTTGTGTCTGTGCAAGTACTCGCCGTTAGCTAGACGAGAACAACCCGAAAGAATATGCCTAATCGATTCACCAGGACAGTGACATGCCCGACATATGTCAACCGTCCCATCTTTCAGGATATACTTTCGGTAATTGTTCGTCATCATAACTTCGTCTGCAATTGCACAAACAAAACCTTCGGTCTCTCCAAATAGATTACCGAATCGAAGCCAGGCCATGGACGCTTTGAGATCTACTTCGGGTCTATGTAGCGCCCGGAAAAAGCGTCCATGAAGCTCTTTGCCCTGCCATACCTCCCTGCGTTCATCTGTTGTCATTATTACAGGTTTGCGCCAGTTCTCTTTAGCTAAGGATAGAGGGGTCAAGCCCGAGTCCACTGCGACCACATCCCGATGCATACCTACGTCAGCTTTTAAAAAGTATTCCCTAAGGCTGCACACCTCACGGTTGTGGAGAGTCTTGGCATTTAAAAAGCCACGACCTCCACACTTCCGTGGAATGTACAGCCTCATGACCGATGAACGTGGGTGATGCATTCGGTTTGCAGTCAACAGTGTGCGAACTCTTCTGTCCAGGGCGTTCAATTCTGTCTGAGTCCACTTGAGTATGCCAAAGGAGTACATCAGGACCGGCATGACCCAACCGTTGAAGGCGCGCACCTTATTGCCACCTGACAAAACACTTGTCAGTACTTTGTTCAGGCGACCAAAGAAGCGCTCCTGCACCGATTGTTTCATGTCAGCCCCATTAATGCCTAACCCCTCGGACATTCCCAAGTACTTGTAGGTCTCGTCTGCGGAGAGGGATCTGATATTTATAGAATCCGAAAGTTGCAATCCTTCGGATTCGACAATCTCTCCCCTCTTTACATGCATAACTGCACATTTGTCCACACCAAATTCCATATTGATATCTTTACTAAAAGTTTCTGTTACTTTCAGTAACTCCATCAATTGCAATTTAGTAGGAGCAAACAATTTTAGGTCATCCATGTAAAGAAGGTGAGATATTATCTGACCTCCTCTTCGCAAACAGAAACCCAGCCCTGAAGCTTCCAGCAATGTGCTGAGGGGATTCATGGCTAGGCAGAACCACAATGGACTCAGACTATCACCCTGGAATATTCCCCGCTCAATCCTTATCAGTTCGTCGTTCTCCCGAATTGGTCGACATCCTGGATAGCAAAGAACCGTCCTCCATTGCCCCATACATGACATCAGGAAGGTGCGTAGAGTTGTATCCACTTTGTACAACTCCAGCACCCTCATGAGCCATGTATGTGGCACAGAGTCATAGGCCTTCTTGTAGTCTATCCAACATGTCGATAAATTCTTTCGAGAACGCCGAGCCTGTTGGCTAATGGCCATATCGATGAGGAGAAGCTCCTTAGTACCACGGGACCCATTCCTACATCCATTTTGAGTAGCATTCATTACATAATTTTGTACAATATGGTTTAAAATTTTTGCCCTCAAAATGGATGTAAGAAGCTTATAGACCGTTGGTAAGCATGTAATCGGTCTATAGTTTTTGGGTTCCATGGTACTACCTGATTTGTGGAGCAAGTGGGTAATACCAGTCGTGAGCAACTGCGGGAGCGAACCACTGTCTAAGCAGGACTGAAACTGCGATGCCAAGCAAGCGTGTGACGTACGTAGCCATTTCAACCAGAAGTTGTGCAGACCATCCGGCCCCGGAGACTTCCAATTCGGGACCGAACTGACTGCACAGGTCACGTCTTCCACCGTAATGGTAATGGGTTCCATTGGGGAAATTCCATCACACGCCTGCTCAACATCGCCCATCCAGTCACCCTCGATGTGGCTGACAGGTGCAGACCAGATGCTACGCCAGAATGAATTCGTAGCACTATCATCCGGCCGGCCCCCGTCAGCCACACCCTGGATTGGTTGCTCCCATGCTCTATATACCCACTTTTCATCACACTGAAACATGCGATTCAGATTATAGCGCTCCACCCGACGCTTATACCGCCTAATACGGCTTGCCCATGCACAGACCCTTTGCTTCAGGAAGTCGATGCGCTCTGTGGCGCATGATAAATAATCCCGAGGACTGATATCAGTCCCCAAGAACGCCCGCCTCACAAAGCGCATCACTCTTGGCCTAGTGTTACCCTCCCTGAAGCAAATGAGTTTACCTATAAGTGTCCTAGCTTCGGCGATACGACGTTCAATCCTGCACTGCCAGACCGGTAAGGCTTGTTTCGGTCGTGCAGTCATGTCTGGGAACTTGACATTGGCTACACGACACGCCGCAACGGCCGCGCAGTACAAAATCGAATGTGTATCACCGAGATTTTGACTGCTTTCAAAATAACTACTAAGCAGCGAATCCAGGACACCTACTAAGGCTTTATTTTTTTTATGCATGGGCAAGCGAGGTAATCGCGGTCTAAGTTCGGGAGGAGCCATTCTATACTCTCGAATCGCATCCTCCAGAGCACTCCTCACTCTATCACTGTACTGTGTACTTACTGTAGCAGCCCTACCTACCTCCTCCACATCACTATCCTCATACCGCGGCAGGATTGCACGTGCTGGTGTTTCCACCGCGGTCAGTGACGGGACAGGGCCGACACGGCTGCTCAGCATCTCTAAGCGTAGCCTATCAAGCACGGTGTCATCCAACCTATGACTACGTTGAATGACCCGCACCTGATCCGAAAGTCGCTGGGCCGAAACGTTGAGGGCTGGTTCCAGTTCCTGAAACAGAGCATGCATCCTTACACGGTACGCGGTGAGATTAGTTCCTCCCTCTGTAGACCCATAGTATGCGCGCATGACGTTCTCATTTATTGTCTGAGTCCATCGCATGCGCGGCACACAACCACCGGCAGCGGGGGCCCGGTTCGGAACCGGGTGGCTCCTGGACCCTAAGCTTGCTGGTGGCCGGGGTCTCCCCGGCCGGCGCACAGGTGTTGGCGACGTCGGCGGGGAGAAGTACTCGTTGCTTGAGCTCGACGCTGTCGTAGCCACCGACGGGGTTTCTTCGGTCGGCGGGGGCGGCTGCAAGGCGGAGCTGAGCGACGAGTCCGGAGATGGAGGGCGTGTTTTTCTTGTTCGTCGTGGTCTTAAGATCATTGTTTGTCTCGTGAAATAGCCATCAGAGTTATATTGACAGGTGTCATCACATCAGCACTTTTTTCATTTTCTTCAAATACATGTTTTCTAAAATTTTGAATAATAAACATTTTAAATATGACTTAAGCACAATTTAAAACTGCTTATCGTGTATATAACGACGTATTTAATATGTGAAATTTAATTTTTATCGGAATGACATTTCTTGAGACGTTTTTCTTTTGGGGGTTGCCACGTTATTATTATTATTATTATTATTACTATTATTATTATTATTATTATTATTATTATATTATTATTATTATTATTATTACTACTTATTGACGTCGCGTTTTATACTCGGACTCGAAGTAACCTAAGAAGCAAAACATTTTTTTTGTAGTGGTGCATTCTATTGTCGATTTTCTTGCCAATACAGTAAAAGTCGATTAATAAACAGGGCAGTTTTTAAAATGGTTGTAAACTGATTTGGCTGTTAACTTGATAACGAAGACACAACAGATGTTACAGATCGCATAATTTATTGTTTCTTTCTCCTGATTATAATTTTGTAGGTATGTCGTATTTTGTGCCGTGGTAACGCAAATTGTGCTCACGTGGTATGCCATAACCAATTCCTCTTCACATTATAAGCAAACTTGTATTAAGAATTAGTTTATTAAGCTGCCGTTCTCGTCTTTATTAAATTTTCTAATTTTCAGCTAACAAAAGCGAGCACCAGGAGCGACCAATCTGACTCGACCGAGTCTGACCAGGACACCATTATGCACCAGGACGCGTCCACGCCACGCAAATCCAAAATGTCAGACTCCGATAGCAGTATAGCGTCTGATCAAGCCGAATCGTCCACCCCCGAGAAGATCCAATTGCCTGCACCAGAAAACGCCTTGGAAAAAGAAAAGGGAAACGATATCAAAGAAAACGAAAGACAAGATGTGCCAGAAAAACAAATAGGCAATGAAATCTCTGAAAAACCAGTGAGCAATGAGATCGCAGAAAAACAAGTGAATAACGACACAGGCGGTGATGAACAAGGGAGCAGCGATGAGACCAAAATTGTACAACCGTTAGTAACAAAAGAAGATGAGGCGTTACAATCGACCGTAATAACTCCATCGCGATCACCGAAAGAGGATACGCAAACATTACTCCAAAGCGAGAGGGGATCATTGTTACAACACTCGCCCAATAGCCAGCGGAGAAATGGTAAAAAATGGTACAACATCAATAAGTACCAAAAAAAGAAATAATACTTTCTCGTCCGACAGTTTCATTGGTTTATTTTTAATGCCGTGTGTATTGATTGCAGCGAATGGACAAATTCCAAACTATGCCAGCAATAAGAAAGGTACATTTTCCTGATCTTATGTTGTAACGATTGTTATCTTCTTTTTCTTTCAAAATAATTTTATGTCCAGTTTGCTTTATATTAAAAATTATATATTCCAATTGGCGGCAATTACACACTTTTTTCGTACAGGTTTGAACATCGATCGGAGGGGATTAGATCCAAGTAACATGTCAATGTGAAGAAAACAGGTAATGAACATTTTATATCCACAAAAATACTGATAACATGTTTGTTAAAAACTTTTACTTAAGCGAAACTATTATCCGGGCTAGCTTTTTATTCCTCTTTTAAAACTTGTTCATCTGATTATCTAATTTCTCAATCAATGAAGACCTCATAGTGAAACTACAAGCTATACATAGGAACGCCAGCCTAATTATTCTTGGACATTTCTGCTTTCGCGATTCTACGTTGAACCGTCGTAAAGCATTGGAATGTGAACTTATTTAAAGTTGATAAAGTAATAACTTTTTAAATTGGCGTTATTCTTTCTTGCCTATTTCTAATCTTAAAAATTTGCGTGATCTGTATAAACCGAAATCGTGAAACGACATATATTAACTACTGCCAATTAGTAATTCTACCAATATCAACTACAGCTATCACACCTAGCAAAAAACAACCTAGGCATACACCGAATGCCATTTCAACTAATTTTTAATAAAGCTTTACTATGAGAGTAGGTGTACTCTGCTTGTTATTTTTTAATTATTACTCGTGCATTTGACATGTTAAATATTTTCTTTATATATATATATATATGCCTACGGCAAGGTTCCATAGTTATTTGACTGATTATATTCATAATTATATTCAGTTACCAAAAATTTAAAGTTCTGGGTCACGTTCTTCCGCGAGGTATACCACCAGGGTCAATCTTAGGGACACTTCTTTTTAATTTTTTATACAGCAGTGTATAAAAAAATATTATGTCTACTGTCCAGATAACTGGCAAATTATCTTAAGTTAAAAATCACAATATAATTACTGTCGCGTTAAAATCGCATTAGGCCGGAAAATGAGGCTTGCATTTGATTATGTAAAATTAATCAGTTGAACAACTTCTATTATAACGATTAAAATGCTCCCTCTACTTGTCTAACTCATTTTTTTTTAATGCGTCACCTTTAAATTTGTGATATATTTACTAACATAGTTTTAAACTGCAAAGTGTTATTAAAGTTTTTATGGACTCCAAAATTGACCAGAATAAATATTTTAACTCATTATCATTATATTATAAAGATCTTTGAAATCTGAAATAATATTACAAATGTGAAATTTAAAGGTGACACGATGGGAGTAAAGTTGGACAATCAGGAGAGCTCCCTAATAAAATCAGTTTTTATTCCAGATAATTACAACCCAAAAACCCCTAAGAAAACCTTTGTACTGGCATGAAACAACTTCATTAATAAACGATACAGTGTTTTTGTACACTTCTTCGGTTTCTAAGATAATCCTCGGAATAAAATAGTTCTTCAAAATAGCTATGTTATAATTCTATTTGTTCGTATCGTATCGTTATCAAGTGGGTGTGTGCCCGTGACTTCAGTTGTTAGTTATTAATGTTAATAATAAATTATTGTTTATTAATTTCTACTTATTTAAGAAAGCTCATTTTTATTGAATTCTATTTTCGAAGTGTCTTATCATTAAATAATGTTTTTTATAATATTTATTGTGAATGAAATCTTATAAATTTGTTTTCTCTGTATATATTGTAGTCTAGCTTAATATGGTTGCGATAAATTTTACAACTGTCACATTTGATTTGTTGTTCACTTTACATGAGCGACACGCAGCTACGTGAATGTAAAGACTGCATGCTGTCGAATACATTAATTTATTTCCTAATTATATAGTTGCTACTGAATCTTAGCATAATTTCTAATGTTAAGTTTAACAAGTTATGCTGCGAAGAAGCCTTAGAATCTCCTGATAATGTAGTTTTACTATTTTCATAAGTTTAAGTTTTAATCCAACTTTGGGAACAATCTCGTTTGGTCACAAGTTGAGACCATATAGTTTGCTAATCTCAGCTAGGTTTAAATTCCATAAGGTGAAAAGTCCAGTATCATGAAAGTAATATATATTTACAAGACAAACATATCAATGGTGGTCAAAAACTTGTATTAAGGTGAAAATTATTGCAATTGTTTTAATGTTCTTTTCAGTAGAATTTATGCATTTTATCTCTATGTCCTCTTAGAACTTTTGCTGCACTCTCAACGAATTCCATCCGAGAAGCAGGGTTATGAAATAAGAATTTTATACTTAAAATATTTTTTTATTCGAAAATGAAATAAGGGGTCATCCATAAATTACGTCACACGAATTTCATGTCTTTTTTGCCCCTCCCCCCGTCCTTGTTACAGCTGGTCACATTTGTAAGACTCCCCCCCTCCCTAGTGTGACGTCACATATTTTGCAAATTTACATTTAGAAATCATTGAATGAAAACAGCGGTTCTGTAATCAGTTTTATTTCCATTTAAATTGTTTTTTCATTATTATTATAATCAAATCAAACAATTAACAAAACAAAAAAAAACCGATTAATTATATTTATTAAAGAAATTACCGAACAAAAAGTGATTGACTATGTTAATTAAAGAAATTAACAAAACATAAAATATTAATAGCATTATAATTAAATTAAAGATACAAACTTAATAATCTTGAGTCCATGGACATTGATCCCACTCCTTTAAATTATTTATAACTGGCATAGCACCACTTTGTTCTCGTTTGGGTTGTTAATGCTTTCGTAAAGTAATAGTTTCAACACTTAGATTTTAATATATTTTGAAATGTGACGTCACGAAATTTAGGACCCCTCCCACCCCTTGTCACACGATGTCACATTTCGTCGACCCCCTCCCTACCCCTTAAAGTGTGACGTAATTTATGGATGGCCCCTAAGATGTATTTTATTACCCGAGAATGTTGAATTTATGCGACTATATTAATTATGTGTATGATAATAATAATATTTTAATTCAGTTTAATTTGTAAAATGAAATTCAATTTATCGCGTACGTAATGTAAGTAATGGTGAAAAAATTAAATTGAAAATAATTGTCATCATTATGGTTTGTTAGGATTGTTTTTATTATAATTAAGTTTTGTAAATTGTTTCTCTTCAAAATGCAATACTCAATCGATTAGATTAAAAATATTAAATTATTGAGGATAATAATAATTGTTACATGTTTGTGTACCAAAACGTAATTTCCAAAGATTTGGCTGTGTATATCTGGAACGTATAACAGAAGACTGATGAATTCAACTGTTCCTAATATTAGTAACCTAAATTCCTAATATTAAAATATTCTATTTGTTTGTATAATAGATTTTTGGAGATGTTTTGAAAAATCTCGTTGTTTAAATATACTTTCCATTTTACATAATTATCAGATTAGTGGTTTTATTTATTTATCCAGTTAACCTTTACATTGCTTGATTGCCTTGAAACGTTGCATATGAATACTACGAGACTTTGATCTTAATTTTAAATATAAAATAAATTTCACATTAACGTACTTATTATCTTTTAAAAATAACGCAACGATGCTTTTATTATAATCATGAAATGGAAAAAATTAAATAGTGCCCTTTGTCGCTGTATATTTTTTGTAAATTGTTATACAAATATTCATAAATATAATAATGTTTAGGGTTTATAATTTACTTAGGCATAACTAGCGAGAGCCGGTATAAAAATAAAAAGAACAACTGTTTCCGCCCGGGATCGAACCGGGGACCTTGTGCGTGTGAAGCACACGTGATAACCGCTACACTACGGAAACTTAATTCTACAATGCAAAAATACGCACCACTTTTCCTTGACAAATAAAACATTGTAATGGCGATAGTTGGCTATAATAATTTTTGACCTCATCATCCCATAATAAATTCCTTTCAGGCCAAGTTAACATTTCTGAACGCTTCTTTGTACTATCTAGAACTGTTTTAAATCATCAGTCACATTCATTGCTTTAAAATTTTCATTATTCTTTGCGTTGTTGCGTTTGTGACAAAATCGTTGACACTAATGTTTATGCCTGACTGAAAATGTCTAAACCGAGCAGCAGCGTGTCTTCGCGTTTTAGACCAAAATAATCTTAATAATATTGCCGGCGTCAATCCAGGCCGATCCGTCTAGTTTAGTTCAGTCAGTCTCGCGGCCACATCGCCCGCGGAAGGTCGCGGCCGTGCGCAACGTGCCACGATATTGTCGGTGTTTAGTTGTGCCATAAACTACTAAAAAATCTTCGAAAACCACAAAAATCCAACACCATGGATCCTGAAGCGTTCTTGGACCTGGCCAACCAGGTCATTAAACTCAAAATGTTCCCATATTTCGACATAGCACATTCATTATTGTGCGCTCTTGCAGTAAGAGAGGATTTGGGAGCAGGTAATTTTACGTTTAATTTATAAAACGCGCCAAAAAACATACTATTCTATTTGTTTTCATTAACTTCCGCATCCTGAAAAGTTAAACTTTTCTACTTAACTGTTGAACCTATGCCTAGCCAACAATGTAGTCTACTGAAATCAAGACACCTTTTACAGTTTATTAATAGAATATTGATGCCCATCTGGTTCCCTATGGAATAGAAGAAATCGCTGGCATTTAATGAAATAATAGGTATTTTCCTTTACAGTTAATAGCACTCTTTTTATTTTGAAAGAAAAACTAATGCACAGCTTTAAGTTATTCCAATGCTGCGGAATAATGCTATATCATTATTTAGAGTGAATAATAACTTTATCAATGAGGCTCTCAAATTTATCAATTTGATAAACATTTTTTGCTTACTGTAGATATTATGTAAAGTTCTCTATAAGTAAGTAAGTAAATACATATTTTTAAAACTAAAAAGAAATATGTTTCTTGTCAGTTATTTATATACTTTTTAGAAATAAAGACAGATGAAGCTATTTTTGCTCGTTTTGCAATTATAAGACTAATTATTAATTAACGGCCTCTAAAAATTTTGTACAATAAGCAAAAATCAAACTCGGGCTCGTCCGGGATTTGAACCCGGGACCTCTCGCACCCGAAGCGAGAATCATACCCCTAGACCAACGAGCCACATTTCAGTGTGTTGAAATTATGGAATCAACTCTTGAGACATGTTTTAGTACTACGATTTTAATTATTTTATTGTTTTATAAATTCTAAATAAAAAATTCTAAGTAGGTACCAACTTCAAATTTCTTTTGCAGTCGCACTTAGATGCATCAATTACCTTATTAAATGTTTAAGTTTGATTAAAGTTAATAACTAGTAATTTTATAATATCATTTTTTTGTTAATTGTTTTATTTAATCTTTTTTGGAAAGTTAATATTAATTATATAATTGTTTTTTTATTTAATGAGTTACATGATTCTGACAAGCAGTAATGTAATCGACTTCTTTATGTTCCATGGTTGAGCTACTGTTAGTTAACTATATTCAGGAAATAATTTATCGTATTTAAATAGAAAATATTAATACTGATATAAAACCAAAATTTTTAAAAGTCCCTATAGTATGCAATATTAAATTCGATTTATCCCTAAAGTTTGCATGAACCACATGCCATTATATTTGTATTTTATAAATTCAATACTTCACAATACCATGACCATCTGAGAAATATTAACTAAAGAAACTTTTACTAGAAAAAAAAATCAACGCGAACCAGGCAGCAGACGGGACTCGAACCGCACCCTCCGTTATTCTAGTGGATGCACTTTATGTGGGACTTTCTTTTAAGGGATTCGAACTTTTTTCGTAAAATTTTATTTACTTATATGTAAACACCTAACTGTTAAATGTTTAAGCATTTAGGTGTTTACATATAAGTAAATAAAATTAATATATTTACTAATTAGAATTATGAATCTACCTATCTCTTATCTATTAGACAAGTCCGTCAAAATTACAAGGGGCCGCCTCCCGCACCTCTCACGGCTCCCGTCCTCGTCCTTCCCAACACCCTGTACACCCCCCCCCCCCCCCCCTTAGGCGAAGACTCAGTTAAGCGGTACCTGTAGTAGGTTCCCTATGACTGAAAGATAATCATATTTCTAATACAACTTTCATCCCCTTTTTACTCCCTTTAAATTTAATACTCATCATTAAAATCGGCTTATTAGGCGTAGGCAAGTTACTTTATAGGTAAGTAATATTAGTATGTACATGGACCAATAAAAGTCCATAGTATGGATTTGGTACAGAGAACTCAATTTGATAAAATTTGTAAAATGACTCGTTACACAAAAGGTCACAACGGAACTTCGCTTCTCCGTCTAGTCTCTGTCAAACTAGGAATGATGGTAGGAAGACATTCTATCTAGGAGAATATTTTGGAATGAGAGACAACGAGTTATAAACGTGTTACCTATAATAATATCGAAATCCAAGTACCTACCTATATCAATCTTTTACAATAAAACGACGTTGTTACAACATAGAGCAACACCACATAACACAGAAAGAGCTGTTTTTGTCCTGTCAGCAACATGTGACATGTTGCGTACACAAGTTGTGTACACAAAATAGAACATCCGAACTCTGACATGCACATGATAATATTGTCTTACAACAACAAAATGCCTTCAGGTGCGCAAGCGTTCTCCCGCAAGCACCCGCTATCTTGCTGGCTGTCTACTATGCTGATGATATTCGCGGGCGGTATGGTAGTCAACGGACTACTGGGAGAGCCTATACTGGCGCCTCTCAAGAACACTCCGCAACTCGTTATCGGCACTGTCACTTGGTAATTTAACGTACCTATTAATTTTCTTTTTCCCTTTAATTCAGAAATTCCGAAATTTAAAACGTACTTATAACACCATGAAACATTGTACTGATTTAATCACTTAGTTTACTTACAGGTTATGGACTTGAAAGTTAGAACTAAAACTAACTTTTCATAATCAAGTGTTACATCGACGCAACCTTGAACTCTCAACACGATATCTTTGAATTTAACATTTGAAAGATACAACACCCGCTTTAACATTTGAAAGATATTTACAACCGGAAGAATTCCGAGGCATCCGTTCTTGAAGTTTTTTAACATATTTTAAGATGAAATTGAAAGGTGTCGTAATGGGAATTGAGGTAAAGCAGGCCGCGTTGGGAAACGTAAGCACCTAAAACTTTAGAGTAGCGAGACCAAGAAAAACGGGTCACTCTTCTAAGTTAACAAAATGATCGTTCATCTATAGTAAAGCTTTGACTGTGTATAAAGCTTTTACACTAATGCCATTGGAATACCATTGATACACGATTCTTACAATAGAGGATCAGATTCGATTCTGGGTATTTGTAGTCTACCTACTGTCTTTGTAGGTCTACCTACTATAAATGTAATATAATCGTCAAGGAGCTCTCTCTCTGGAAAAGGAAAAAGTCGTCGAATTATTCTCCCTAAATCCTACTGCAATTCTAATTAACCTTTGGTACCTATACAGATCCTTACTGCTTTTTGTGACTGTTGGAGACTGTCTGCCATTTAAACGAGTCTATTTCGCTTCTCAGGTATATCGTGTTTTACACGCCCTTCGACGTTGGGTACAAAGTGGCCAAGTTTCTGCCAGTGAAGGTGGTAGCGGCGGCCATGAAGGAGATATACCGCGCCAAGAAGGTATACGACGGGGTCAGTCATGCGGGCAAGCTCTACCCCAACGCTTACGTTATCATGATCATTGTGGGTAAGTACACGGTTTTTTTAAAATAACTTGCACTCTAAGCTTGGTTAGCTTATATGTAGTAGCATTTGAGTAAGGTACTGTGCGTACTCACAGAAATGTATTCACGCCGTTCCCGAATGGGGTAGACACATCGCCATAAAGCACGGTCCGTACCATACACACACATCTTACTCACATCTCACATCTCATCTTACATTCACAGTCATAACTTTTTTCATACACGTTCACCGGTTTTCGCGGCTTCTGACGTCACCTAGCTTTAGAATGTTATGAATTCGATCGTGATAGTTGAGAATTCCCCTTCCCCGGCTTCTACAGTAATATTATTCCATCATCGCGTCGTATATCTGTTTTGTCATTCTCTCTTTTGGTTGACATTCTTTTAACATGTTAGAGCCAACGCAGCATGTCTGTGTTGATTTTTCTCCAAATTAACCCCAACTCTTAGCGCCACTATTAGCTCATAGGGCCGCTCGGAGTGTAGTACCTACTGTGCTGTGCATAGTCCCCGTAACCTGGTATATCTGTGGAAAACGCGTAGATTCGCAACCAGATATCAACTTCTACGAGTTGATGTTAAAGGCTCTGTAGCTGTCTCACGGGAAAACTCCAAATCGAGCGAAAAATTAATGTTCTATGTCCCATGCTATGCCATCCTATCTCTGTTTTATCAGATTAATTTATCAGCATTTAGGCTAACGGATTATAACGTGTTGCAATCACGGTCATAAAGTACCTATAGAGTAATCTGATGCTTTATTAAAATAATAGGTATTGCCGAAGTTGAAAATTTAAATAGCAAATAGCGGCAATTTTCGAACACAAGGAAAAAACTAACTATTTACATACAATTATCTTAATATTTCAAGCATTCTACTATGAACAAAGTAAAAACATTACCTATTCGATTTTAATCTCACTAGTTGAATTATAAAAATTATAATATTTCTAGTTCAATTTTGACATATTGTACTAGCGTAGCTGAGTGCAAGGTACCTTGCACTCAGCTATAATGTCACATTATGTCAAAATACAATATGTCAAATTAAAGGATTAAAATGGAAATAGATAAATTAGTTCCCGTTATCGTTTTTCAGGAACACTGAAAGGCAACGGCGCCGGTTTCACCAGACTTCTGGAGCGCCTGATCAGAGGAGCCTGGACTCCCACAGCCATGGAAACCATGCAGCCAAGCTTGTACGTTGAACATTTTGGTTAACAGCAACCACGTGTTTACGAGACGTAATCTTAACGTATATAAAAATTGCCGACGGTCGGCCGTTTGCCGCTTAACAGGGTATTTTTTATAACTGCTGAATGTAGGTACTGTCTAATATAACCTAGATAGTTCGCTACTTTTGACGACGAAAGCTTAGTTCAATGAGCCGTTTCCGCATTCAGGGAAGTTAATTAACTTTTAAGTTAAACTACTAAAGTTGAAGCTGTCACTTTCTTTGCGATGACAATAGAATGCTCAGAGCAAGTTACTTCTTTGGTCATAGATAGAATGTGACTCACGTGACTTGAAACATTGAAAATTTAATTTGACATTACCGAGATCAGCCAGTGTAAGCTGAGCCTTAGTTTGACCAATTATTATTAGTAACGTAGAATGGCCAGTCATGTCAATGTTTTCCTCAACCAGACTAGAAATTTAAAGACAAGCTAAATATGTCTAAAGCCTAAAGCTAAGTTTAAATACACAATAATCTTTTGAATATTTTGCAAGACTATCTAAAAAGGGGTTTAATATCCAATCAATCAATCAATACTTTATTGCGTTCTATAATGTTTTCTTAGATCTTAGTAAGTAGGTACATTGCTTTGATCATTGTAGACCCTGAACAGGGTACTGCAAATAGAGATGAGATATTGTCAGGGTTAATTTACAAGTAAGTATGTGCTTTACTTTATTCCTTCTAACTCCCTGAGCAGATTTGTTTGTAGGACTTCGTTAGAATAGAATCCTCACATAACGTTTTTCTTGCATGAATACAATCGGGGAATTAATAGGTGCCTATTTTAAAATCCTGGCACCCCGGGTCAATCTGACGTCCCATGCAGGCTGCTGCCCCGGGTCATGGTCCTTTTGGCCTAATGCTAGGATTTAAATTGGCTATTTCAATTTGCTATTTGTAAACTTGACAATACCCTGTCATGCTTTATGAAGAATGAAAAGGACAGACTGATGTCAAGTTTACAAATAGCAAACATGAATAGCCAAGTGAAGTGCCGGCATAAGGGTAAAAGACGCCCCTTATTACAATAATATCAAGTTGAAGGTTTTAATGAGCTTATTAATAAAATACATAATTTATGTAGTTTTATACTAAATTTATACTTAAATATCCGTATCATCATCAGCCTAATAATGTGCTGAGGAAATGGTCTTGAGGCGAATGTTCCCTACATTGGCCATGAACGACCACGCAAATGCAGCCATGCCTTCTGAAGCACAGAGAAGCTCGCTTGAGATAATACATTTTTTTTGGTCACCCTCCATTTGACCTGCCATTGTTAATGATGCTTAACTTTCACGGGTGCGCTTCCTATTATAGTTCTGTCAAAATAGACATTAGACTGAGTAATAGGGTGAAGCCAAACGAGCGTAATTTTGTGAGTTGTGAGTCGCTTATTTTCGGTCACTTATTTTACGTTCATCTGAATTTCTGTTGAGCTGCCATACGAACGTAATTTATTCAGTTACTATTGAGCGTTAGTAAGGGGTATTCGTGTCGTCGAGTGCAATGGATCCATTAAAAATATTGAAGCATATTCAGAAGATGAGGCCAGAAAAAGAAACTGGGTAAACCCACTGAATAGTCAGAGACTGATATGTGGACAGTTCCATACTTTATATGAACGTTTATGTGCAAATACAGATATGTTTGAAAAGTACTATCATATGCCATTACGTGTTTTTCAAGAATTATTACACCACGCAACTTGTAACAAACTGTTGCTTCCCCACTCCCCTTCCTTGCCCTACCCTCACCCCGACCGAAATTCGGGCGAGCTTATGCGCATTGAGTCGGCAGACAACATATTTTGCGTTGTCGTGTGGCACCAACTGCCTTTTTGTATGAAACCGAATGCAGCAGAATTTCTGCGACCGAAATTCTGCGACTCACCACTCACAAAATTACGCTCGTTTGGCCTCACCCATAATTCGCATGGAGCTGAAAATTGGTAGAGACGTTAAAAAAAGTAAAATGTCAAAAATCCCCTTCGATCCTACTTCTGCAAAAAAATATTCAAGGTCAAACGTACAAAATTATGTTTTTCCATTTTTCTCGAAAACGGTAAGTTTTATCGTGAACATAGGTCAGACAAAAGTTGTAGATCATAAAATTCTCTACAAAAATGGTCCAGTCTCTGACTCGGACGGACACCTTTCGCTATCCGGGCGAATGCATTGCTGCCTGGTCCGCGTGGAATTTTTTTTAGTAACATTTTGTTTAGATTTAAACATCGAGCAGTTACATGCGTAAAAAAATAAAAATTATAACTAATTTTATGTTAGCCAATATTCACCGGCGACCGAAACTGTGACGTCACAGCCACCACGCGGCCAGCCCAAAATTCGTTTAGTAATTTTGTCATTAAAAAATTAACCACTGTATTTTATAGAATCCTTAGCTCTATAAATCTGCTGAATAACGGATCCTCATTATTGGATATTGCTAGGGACTTTATTGTAGAAGCGTACACAAAGACCTTTAAATGAAGTATTGATTTTGTGGAGCCTAGCAATAGTATGGTAGGTACAGCTAATTTTTGTATATTTCTAGTATCAAGCGAGTGCTTATCACTATTTATAGGAAATACTTAAATTAATATATTTTTTGTACATACATTAAATTTTCATATCAATCCTCGATCCAGCTATACGAAGGCGTCGCTGGTGGCGTCGGTGATCTTCGTGCTGGATAAGAAAACGGACTTGATCTCGGCGCCACACGCGCTCGTCTACTTCGGCATCGTCATCTTCTTCGTATACTTTAAGGTATTCATAATCATCAGCCTATTAATGTCCCCGCTGCTGGGGCACAGGCCTTTAGTATGGATGGAATAGGGAGATTGAACTACGACCCACCACGCGGGCCCAGTGCGGTGTGTGGGTGCTAAATACTGCAGCCGGGACCAACGGCTTAACATGGCACGCACGCACGCACGCTTGAGATGGTATTGGTCAACCATCCGATGACCGATCACTACGAAAGTTGCTTAACTTCAACGATCGCAGCCGAACGGGCGTACCACTTGCGCCATCAAGCTCCACTTTATTTATTTTTAGGATTCCGTACCTCAAAAGGAAAAATCGGAACCCTTATAGGATCACTTTGTTGTCCGTCCGTCCGTCTGTCGTAGTCTGTCAAGACCGTTTTTCTCAGGAACACGTGGAGGTATCAAACTGAAATTCATATCTAATACTCATGTCTATTGTCCCTTGGAGCTGTGAAAAAATCAAACTTCTAAGCCAAAGCAATCAAAAGATACAGCCGTTTATGGCGCAAATTTTCAAAATTCGCACGGGAATATAGATTTTTAATCAAAACCTATAGGTCCCGTGAACTTAGAATCTTGAAATTTGGTACTAAGTAACGTCATATAGTACAGATAAAGGAAAAATTGCAAAAACGGCAAAATTTTTAGTAACATCATATAGTAAAAAATCTTTTTAAAAATTCAGGTTTATACGGAACCCTCGGTGCACGATTCCGACTCGCACTTGGCCGGTTTTTTGTTTTCTCTGGGAAAAAAACTAGCTACAGGAATTGTTTACTGTCCTTGTATACAAATACTTACCAGTGCCGTGCACAGGGCTAAAGAATAGGGCAAGCTCGCAGCATCTAAACTTTATTTGGAGTTTTATTACAATAAAAAATATGTGTCCGTGATGCTACCCACGATCAAAATACGGTTTTTCGTTATGCCATTAAATACTGCGTAAATAGTGCCAAATTAGTGAAAAATCAAAAACATAGTGCCTCTTTAATTTAAGAAATAAAGACCATTTTTACTGTGTACGCTACCATGACGTCAAGCTAGCGTACCCATGGCCGACCCCAAGAACGGCATAAATTGACACACAAAAATAGTTCGCAAATAGTGCCCTGGTTTTACAAAATTTCATAATCAATACTCTTAAGGGACCAAAGATATTAAACTAAACATTCTTAGCTGGCGTCAACCTGGCGTACCCATAATAGTTCTCATAGAAAATTAACTTTTCTCGTTATCAATTCTATATGTATAAATAGTGTGTCAAATAGTGCCTCTAATAGTAAAAGTATTTTATGTGAATCCGCATCACAACAATTCATAAGGAGGATGTTAAATTCTAGGAACAAATGTATTGTAGTACAGTTGCACACAAAATTAATTTATGCACTAAGAGATTATCTATATATGTATACTTACTAAAATAAATGAAACTTTTTATAAAAAGATATTTTATTTTAAATTCGAATTCACCAATCATAAATTCATATAAGAATTTCAACCTAACTAATAAGTACCTTACTTACCTACCATACTACGAAAATATTATCACTTCAGTACATGACTGTACTTCATATATAAAAATAATTTAATTGCTTTTTTTATATTGTTTTACTGCGAATTCACATAAAATACTTTTACTGTTTGAGGCACTATTTGACACACTATTTATACATATCGAATTGATGACGAGAAAATTTCATTTTCTATGAAAACTATTATGGGTACGCTAGGTTGACGCCAGCTAAGAATGTTTAGTTCAATATCTTTGGTCCCTTAAGAGTATTGATTATGAAATTTTGTAAAGCAAGGGCACTATTTGCGAACTATTTTTGTGTGTCAATTTCGTTGCTTAAATATATGTCGTTCTTGGGGTCGGCCATGGGTACGCTAGCTTGACGTCATGGTACACAGTAAAAATGGTCTTTATTTCTTTAATTAAAGAGGCACTATTTTTTTTATTTTTACACTAATTTGGCACTATTTACGCAGTATTTAATGGCATAAAGAAAAACCGTATATTGATCGTGGGTACGCTAGCATCACGGACACAAAATTATAATTAATTTGAAATAACCAGAAGCAGATTCGCGATCCTTTTTAAGGCACGTCGTGCTTTTCGGCTTATATAAAAGGAACGCCCTAATAGGTACCTGACAGGTACGTGTATGTATCTACATTATTAAGTAGCTATTCCATATTCACGCACAGATTTTCAGGAATATTCATTCACAAAGCCGGTTCACGAGAGAGCTCAATTTCAATTATACGCGCGAAAGTTATAGCATATATTTTTTAAGAAAGGTAGGCCATAGCAGATTTGCGCAAAATAGGTAAGTGGTAGTTTGTGGTAAGACAGAAATTATGACAAATAAGATAAAAACCACTGGTCTATGGCTGGCTATGGTGGCCGCTTACCATCTGCTGGGCCATATGCTTGTTTGCCATTGTCACCCTTTTAACATTAAACAATATATATCTATTGCAGTTATCGTCCATACTGTTGGGCATCCACGATCCATTTGTGCCGTTCGAGAATCTGTTCTGCGCATTATTTCTGGGCGGCATCTGGGACTCACTCGCCAAGCTACTGGGCAAGGGACAGCCCAAGGAGGAGACTAAAGACACTAAAAAGACTAATTAGTTACGGGTAAGCTTAATATTTATATAGAGACCTACTCACATTGTGCTTTGCTAGGTAAGGAATAACCCAAGGTAGAGAAAAACCGAAGAGACTAATATAGCAACAGATGAGCTTAAAAATAGGGGTGATGACGGGGTACAGTAAACAAAATTCTATTTAGTCCGTCAGTTAGATGATCAAAAAATAATGGACACGTATTTTTTCTTTGGTCAATCAACCAAAAAATGACAAAGTTATAGCGCGTCCAAGTTTGGGAGAAGGGGCTCGTGACGTCACTTTTGAGTGAATTTTCCCTTATAAGTGTACTCAAACGTGACGTCATGCGACTTTTCAAATCAATATATCTCAGCAATGTTTATATAATGTGAAAAAAGAAAAAATACGTGTCCAATACTTTCTGATAATCTACCTGATAAAGGAAGAAAAAAAAATTAGTCATCATCCCTATTATGTGACCCGCGTCATTGGGTTTGGTGGGCAAGGGAAAAAATTGCTGTGAGTTAATTTAATATTTAAGTAGGCACCCTACATTGGTCATCATTTGTTAATTTGAATTCAATTGTGGCAGTTAATGTCAATCATTAATTATTGAATACGAACTCTCCAATATCTTTTGCAAAGCTGCTTTGTAAAGGCCAGCCCAAAGAGCTCACTAAAGACACCAAGAAGACTAATTGCTATGGGTGAGCTTAATATTTATCGAGATTGTAACACGTATGTCGGTAAACAGTCAATTGGAACATGTTACATGGTCCTACGTTGGGCGCCATTGTAATGAATAAGACCGCGGACAGTTATATATTTACCGCCATATAATTGACCTACCTGATGGGCCGCGGGACTCGGGAAGCGGGTGTGCACGGGTTTACACGGCATTGCCGACGCAGCGAGATATCTCATGATATTTAAATTTTCGTTTTATTTGAAAACTATTTATTGTTGTTTGTATTAATTATATAATATAATGCGAATATACTAGTGTAATAATTTGTTACTCATATATAATGTACTTTAACTTTGTAATATGTACCTACATTTATTTCAATGTAATACGTATTCAGGCCATAAATATTGTTACAAAGAAAAAAATATTTAATACAAAATATTATATTTAATTCGCCATATTTAATAACATAATGTTTGCTTGACTTCCTAGCTTTTTATTACGTAGACTTGGTAATCACATGTTTGTTGTAATTCCAAGCCGTAAGTTGAGCTCATGTGTAGCTGACTCAAGATTGCAAACGAGCTAGCTCTGACGTTGAACGTCTATCGCTGTCGGCAGCCGATATGCTACTGATAAGGTCGAGCGCCCCCTCCTCTCACGTCCCACGAACAACGGTCAAGCTAATAATTGAAACGTATATAGCCCCACGTTGGGCGCCAATGTAATGAATACGACGGCGAACAGTTAATTTTAACATATTTGCATACACGATTGAAACAGTCAACAATAATATCACAATGATTAATAAACATAACAATGCCGAACCCCCATCAGTTGAAATTTTTTTTTGCATCCAGAAAATGAATTGCATGTTAAATTATAGTTTAGATTCTCGATTTGATTCGTCTTATTTCTTTTATTATAGGAAGTCTGGATTTATCGATATTCTACTTTGAAGTTTTGGAGGTTATGTCATACCAAGTAATACAAAAACGAATTATAAAAGTATATTCAAGAATATTTATATATCAAAATAAAAAATACGTGGAACGGAACTATACCGGGCCCATAGATTAGTGACGAAAAAAAATGTTTTTTATAATGTATGATCAGCGAGCGTAGGTACTGACCGGCCGCGTCAAAATACGTAATAATTCAGTAATTCTTAACAGACAAGGGTTATTGAGTTCGAATACAATGTCTGTGCTGTAACAAGTACTTACAAAATGCCCACAGCAATAATGGTTAATAAGACGATGGTATTAGAAAATGGTTTTCTAATAGTGTACTTACTAATGGGATATTAATTAAGTATAAAACACTTTTTTATATATTTTTTATTCCACATCTTTTTTGATCACAATATCATAGATAGTAGATACAATGAAATAAAATCCACGGTATGGGACAGAATCTTGTCCAAAATCCACAGCAAGAAGTCGTCCCTCAAATGAAATATCAGATTCGGAAGTCTTAGGCAAGCTACTCAACAGTCGCAGGGAAAGATTTCGCATGCACAAGCAATGATAATGATAACACGACAACAATTCGGTGACAAGCATGACAGTGACAGTCATAGTTTTTTGCGTTAGAATTGGTGCCATACTCTTTTTGTATTGTGGAAATTATTTATTATGGTTTCAGTATCATATTGAAAAATAATGTTTCCCTATGTTTTTGATAGATAATTAAATATAGTTTAAGCGTGAAGCGATACAAAACATACTTAAAGTTGATTTCATCACTAAAATCGCTTAAAATAAATGGCTCAAAAGCCATGATGCCAAGCCACACAATAAAAAAAAAAGTTAATTGTGTTTCCCTTTTTTAAGTTTTTAATTCCAGACTTATACAACCCTCCTCAATTGTTTAATAATTCTTTTGAGATTATTTTATTAACATTTCTGATATTGATATCCATAGACGCTAAAGATTTACTTCAACAAATATTTCGCCATTGTCCTTTAATAATAGGTATCTTTAAATTTCTTTAGTTGGAATTTTATTCCATAATATCATTAACAGTGATTGTTTGGGACAGTCAGGTCTCCTATCTAATGAGGTACTCGTATACTTGATAAGACGTTTAATTACGTATAAATTACAATAATATGAATAAAATAGAAAAATTGTATGCGTATTGTGCGCCGTTTAATATTCGAATGCGCGGGTCTTCTTCGTGGCTTCTTTCACCGGCTTCTTTCACCCGATACGTTTCGTTTTTCGTCGTTGTGCAAATTGGAGACACAAGCGTCGACATGGCCCCGGCCTTGGCAGCTCCTACTTCCAATCTAAAAATCGTATGTATTATAGGAGTGGACATATCTTCGAGAACGCTCGTCGAATGATTCCCGATGAAGTGCGTAAGTCAGCTACCCTGGAAACGCCGTCCCTTCTTGTGAACACTCGTTCTACACGTCCTAATCTCCATTGAAGTGGTGGTAGATTGTCTTCTTTGACGAGAACCAAACTGTCAAGGGCGATGTCATCTGCTTCCGTCTTCCACTTTGTCCTCGTCTGAAGCTCCGCTATATATTCTCTAGACCAACGCTGCCAGAAATGTTGCCGAAGTTGCTCCAGTCTCTCGTAGTGTCAAGGCATTAGTGTTTGCAGCAGTCAAATCCATCTCAGGTGGCGCAGTCAACGGTCGACCAATCAGGAAATGGGCTGGAGTGAGGGGATTAAAATCGGAAGGATCTGAGGAAATAGGGGACATTGGACGAGAATTCAGTACGGCTTCAATTTGTGTTAAAATCGTGCTAAACTCCTCGTAAGTTAGTCTCGCGTTCCCTACTATACGTCGCAAGTGATATTTGCACGAACGTACCCCACTCTCCCACAAACCACCAAAATGAGGCGAATATGGCGGAATAAATTTAAATTGAATGCCATCGTTGCTTGCAAAATCAGAAATTTCATTAGTATTATTTTTTAAGAATAATGGTAACTCCTTCTCAGCACCCACGAAATTTTTACCGTTGTCTGAGTATATGATATTAGGTTTAGCTCTTCGACTAATAAAACGTTTCAATGCTAAGATGTAGTCTTTAGAAGTTAGCGTAGTGACAATTTTAAAAAAATGTATGGCCCGTGTAGTGAAACATATAAATAAACAAATATATGCCTTGGATAGACGAGACCCTCTCCCCTTTTTATTTAAAATATAAACTGGTCCAGCATAATCAACGCCGGTCTAAAGAAATGGAAAACCAGGGTCGATACGATCACTAGGTAGGTTGCCCATGATTGGACTTAGTGTTTTGGCCTTTAGTCTCGTACAAGTTACGCATTCACGAACGACCTTCCTAACTAAATTCCTACCACTTAATGGCCACCAACATTCACGCATGGAAGCTAAAAGCAGTTGAGGACTAGCATGTAGTAACCGCTTGTGTTCATGCCTACACAACAAAACAGTGAAATAATGTTTACCGCACAGTAAAATTGGATGCTGTTTATCATAATCAAAATGACTCGAATTATTTAATCTTCCACCTACCCTTACAACTTTGTTGCCATCCATAAATACGTGTAGTCCAGATATACGTTTATTACTACACGTAGTTATAGGACGACCGTTCACTAAACAATTATAAACGTCGGGAAAAGATTGCAACTGTGCAAATCTAACTAATAAGCGCTTCGACTCTGCTAACTCGTCTATCGATAACAAACCGGTTTTACGATCTTGTTTGTGAGCAGTGCGCGCGTTATAAATAAAATGTAGAATGTACGCGCCTATCCTTAATAATCTAATGTAAGATGAATATTTATCGAATTGAATTAAATTTTAATTATTAGTGCTAGTTAAAGAAATTATATTATTACTAATTGATTTTAATTCTGGTAAATTAGATATATCTGAATTAATCATACAATCGTTAAATGAATTTAAACTATCTAAACAAGACGGTCCATGCCACCACAAGTTATTGTCAACTAGCGCATCCAGGTAGACACCACGAGACAATAAATCTGCTGGATTATCTTCCCCGTTTATGTGTAGCCAGACTGAATCTCCTGTGAGTTCGTTGATTTCCACTACACGGTTCTGTACGAACGTTTTCAGTGCATGAGGTTACATTCGAATCCATCCAATGACTATAGTGGAATCAGTCCAGAAGTAAACTTTTGAAAATTTCATTTTTAATGATTCGATAATTTTTCTATATAATCTTGCACCCATCAGCGCTCCACATAGCTCCAACCGAGGAATACTTACGGGCTTTATAGGTGCGACTTTACTTTTAGCAGTAAGCAAATGAGTAGTTCTTTTTGAATTTATGTCATAAGTTGAAACGTACGCGCAGGCTCCGTAAGCCTTTAGAGATGCGTCGGTAAAGATATGCAGTTCCGTATGTTGTGCATGATCACTGGTCACTCGTCTAGGAACACGCAAAGTGTGTAATATTCGTAGCGACTCAATAAAAAAATATCTTGAGATATCTGAGTGTCCCAGTCGATCTTACATAACCACAGTTTTTGTAAAAGTAATTTTGAAATAATAACTGCAGGCGATATTAAACCTAACGGGTCGTATATTTGCGATATAACCGAAAGCATAATACGTTTGATCAATTTAGTATCGCAATAATCAATTTTGGTAGTAAAATATCACTGATCTTCATAATTTAGCCAACCCAAACCTAAAGTTTTGTTCTGGTTATACTCGCATGTGAAATATTCCTTTGTTTCATCAGAAACAGACGAGTTAAATGTCCATTTTCGTAATGGAAACCTGTGAAACTTGCTCGCAGGTCTTTGTTAAAGTGTCAAAGTCATCATGGCCACTTATCAGGTCATCAACAAAGAAATCTTCCTTAATAACCCTTGCTATATCGCTATCCCTACACTCATCGGCTAGCTGTCGTATACACCTCATACTTAGATAAGGGGCCGACGCAGTCCCATACGTGACAGTGTTTAATTGGTACGTTTCTAAGGGTTCAGTAGGATTATTACGCCATAATATGAGTTGCAAGGATCTTTGATCAGGTTGAATAAGAACTTGCCTAAACATTTTCTCAACGTCAGCGCAAGCGACGTATTTATAATGACGAAAACGCAGCAGAATAGAAAAAATATCGTTTTGTAATGCCGGGCCTGGTAATTGTATGTCGTTAAGCGACTTATTCGTAGTTGTAATGGCACTGGCATCAAATACCACCCTCAACTTAGTGGTGGTACTACTCTCACGCAGCACGCCGTGGTGAGGTAAATAGTAATGAGGCTGTCTGGGCGCGTCTATCTTCGTCATGTGCCCCAAACTTAAATATTCTTGCATAAAATTGCAATAACTACGTTTATATTCGGAGGAACGTTCTAACTTTCGTTCAAGTGATAAAAACCTATTTTTGGCTAATGTATACGAGTCTCCGAATACATTCGGTGACTCCTTGAGAGGTATACGTACTGAAAACCTACCGCTTATTTCTCGTTTAGTTGAATTAATAAATAAATTCTCACAAATGCGCTCGTCGTTTGTGAGAATAGGCTTATTTAAATTTGGTATGTTTTCTATCTCCCAAAACATTCTCAAATCCGTATCAATATTCTGTACGAAGTCACACAGAATCTGATTAATGCGCAAGTTCTTCGTGTAAATCGGTCCAGATAATAGCCACCCTAACTTAGAATTGCTTAAGTAGGTACCGCTGGGCAATCGTATAATTTTATCCGTATTAATAAGACCCCAGAACGCATCAGCACCTATTAACAAATCAATGTCAGAAGGAACACCGTAAGTAGGATCCGCCAGTTGTATATTGCTAGGTATACGAATTATGTTAGCATCAATGTTAGTTGACGGTAACCTGTTTGTAATACGCGGCAAAACAAAACATTGAAGCCTCGTATTATAATCGTTTACTCGAGAACGCATTAAAATATTACATAAATGATTCGACTGGGTAATAGATTGACCTACACCCGAAATCTGAACAGTGGACTGTATTAAAGACGCATTAAGACGTTTACGTAATCTATCTGTAATAAAACAATGTTGGCTACCGTTATCAAGCAAAGCGCGAGCCACATGAAAATTATTATGGATATCGGTTACCTCGACCAGCGCTGTACATAATAGCACCTGCATCTCGCTCGCACAGTCCCGGTCTCCCGCTAATGTACACATGGAAGACAATGCGCCTGCGGCTGCGGGCCGAGCTGGCATTAAGTGCAACGCTGTCGTAGATCGCGGATGCGTGGTACTGCGCCCTACAGAGGTTGAGGGTTCGCCGTTCGTATGCCCTATGTCATATTGCTTGACGTCTAAATGCAGCAATGTATTATGTTTTTGTGAGCACTGTTTACATGGACCGAAGAGACATTCACTCGGTTCGTGCCCCGATCGTAAACAGTTGCTGCACAATTTATTTTCGCTTACGAACTTTAATCTTTCTTCGACAGCCAAGTTTAGAAAACCAAAACAAGTGTACAGTGCGTGATTGTGATTACAAAATATGCAACTTCTAACGTTCTTAATAAAATTGGAAGATTTGTTCTTTGTGCTATTACTGGAAACGTAGCTTTGAATTTGTGTATTATTTTTATTCGAGTAAGATGATTTATAATTTTGTGAGGTATCTTTAGTTTTATTATGTGAACTAGTGATCATTTCTAACATATCTGCGCGGTTCTTGAGAAATGATAGAATGTCTTCCAATTTTATTTTGAGAAAATTATCCTTTTAATGATAATGACCCTTTATATGTTTCCCATTCACGCTCCGTAGTGGAATCTAATTTGGTTACAATTAAATATATAGGTAATTAACGTATCCCATGACTCGGTGCGTTCGTCTAACATTTGAAGTGCACGTAGGTTGCGTAAAATAGTGTCTATTAATTTTCTAATTTGAGTAGTTGACTCTTGTTTGATGGGCATAACATAAATAGGGCTTTTACGTGTATATTTATTAACAGTCTGGTATTGTGGAACCTGTTCTCTAATAGTTCCCACGCGTGAATATAGTTAGCTGCAGTAAATTCCAATGAGCTAATAACTAATTTTGCATTACCAATTAGTGACGAACGTAGGTAGTGGAATTTTTGTATGTTATTTAGATCAGATCGTTCGTGAATCATAGTAACGTACGAAATTTTGAATTCTAACCAATGATCGTATGACCCATCGAATAAAGGCAACTTGATTTCGGGAAATTTTACGTTTGTAACTGCCAAACAGTTTGAATTTTGGGTACTGTTAGGCTCGTTCATAGTGATAGAACTATCCATCAAGCAGTTCGCGTTAGCCATACAACTGAAATAAATAGATTCTACGGTTTCAACGTACTCATTGTCGCCATCGATTTCGCTATCTGTTGAATGGAGCTCAATATCACTTTGAACCGAATTAAATTTTTGGAAAATGTCACTAGCCGCTTGACTACGTAACTTCATCTCATCTAACTGAATTTTACTTAAATTAGCGCCTAAGAAGGAGTCAACATATTTGTTAAATTGCGTTAATTTACCCTTCAAAATTCCTCTTTGCTTTCTGAGACTGGTAATAACGTCTACAGCCTTTCTTTTAGATGGCGAAAGGGGAGGAATAGATAAATTTCCGTTAGCACTATCGGTCATTTTGGCAATCAATAAGAACAGTAAAGGTAGTTACGTGCAAATATAATTGTATTAGTACACAATTAACTCCTAACTCGCGAATAATAACGTTTAGATAAACACGATTTTAACACAATTTGAATAAGGATTAGGAAATTAGACAGGATGATCAACCAACCGTTACTGGAGATGATATCTTGAAAATCCTCGCTTTCTTCGATGTCGCAGTCGTCTAATTCGGCTCGAAGACCAAACTGTTTGGGACAGTCAGGTCTCCTATCTAATGAGGTACTCATATACTTGATAAGACGTTTAATTACGTATAAATTACAACAATATGAATAAAATAGAAAAATTGTATGCGTATTGTGCGCCATTTAATATTCGAATGCGCGGGTCTTCTTCGTGGCTTCTTTCACCCGATACGTTTAGTTTTTCGTCGTTGTGCAAATTGGAGACACAAGCGTCGATAGTGAGAAAGCTACCTAGATATAAGATCTACTCAAGGAGAAAACTTGAGACACTAAAAGACTGATTAGTATGAATTGACTGGTGTGCTTACAATTTACATAGGAACCTCACATCGGTATTGCTAATTTTGGGTCAAACTTTGGCAGCTAATATCTATCACCAATTATTATTCGCCAGGATTTTGGAAGGCGCAGGTATGAATCCTGTCCGAAACCTGGAACGAGCGTCAGTAACAGCGTTCTTAGTTTGTTACAATAATAATCTTAATTTCCTTGCTATTATTACATTTCTCAATAAAAAAATTGATAGAAAAAAAATTAATTAAAGAAAATCATGGAACCTATTTAATGAAGTACAAAAATAAGATATACTTAGCGCCAGACATTTTTAGCTAATAAGACGACATGCAAACTCACATTTCACGTATAACAAAGTAAGGGTTTACAGTTCACTGTTTCATTTTGTTACAGATTCCACGCAATCCTTCATCAGCTTCTTCCTCAACTGACACCGACAATACAAATTGCGACGGCTCCTTTATAGAAGCATAATAAAATGAATGAATAATAATTATTAAAAAATAACCAAAAAAATAGTAAAACCCTGAAATCCTAAAAAAATGGCACAACGACCAAAGTTTTGATTTCATTAATATTAAGTTTGACTAGTCATTTAGTTTTGTGTGTATGGATATGCCGTTGTTTTTAATTATATGTGTAGCAATGTATGTACTTAATTTGAAGTATTCATAATTAACTAGCTAGGTATTATTATATTTTACTGTATTTACTGTATCACGTAGAGCTACATATATTGTCAATAATGAAAAAATCCCTAGGAAACTTCCATAAAATTCTTCATCATATAACATAAGTATCATTATATTACGTATGCTTTAAGTTCCTTTAAATGCCAAAAAAGGTTTTATGATTTTATTATTAATCATTATTTTGAACGTATGCATAATGTCTTCCCAGTTTTAAAAGTGTGATGTGATAAAAATGTATGAAAAAATGTAGAGCATTGAAATTATGTTAATAATTTAGTTTAGTACGACGAAACGACAAGCGACTATTAATAACGACTTCCTTTGAGTCCATTACTTACGTGACAGCTTCTCAATTTCAAAAGTTTAAAAATAGCAACGGTTAAAATGCGTATTGTTGAATCTTTTTGATTTACATTTTAATGTTCCTTTTTAAAATTTAATATGAATAAAAGATTTCCTATAACTATTATTATAAATTATATTAAATATCTGAAATGTCTGGCTGATCTGCAACGGTGCTTCGCAATGAGGAACACATATTTCGGAGATGAGATGATCCATGATAAAAATTGGTTACTTATATTAATATTAATTATAATGAAACATCTGATCGAGCCGCGCGGGTGCTTGCGGCGAGAGGCATTTTGTTTCATGTTAAAAGAATGTTGACAATTTTAAATGTTTTTATTGTTTAAATGTTAATTTGATCAATGTAATTAATTGACACACCTATGCTAAAGGAAGCAATAAATTGTTTTTATTTTTTTATCGCTACTTTTATTTGCCTTATTCATAACATTAAAAAAATTACAATATTTGATAATGCTACTCTTTGAATTTAAAATTATTGACCAGTAACAGTATTATTTAATTCGTTCCAGATTTTTTTATTGCGCTCCACACAATTATATAACTAAACCCAAGTTTTATCATTACCATTTCGTGGATCGGGTACCGGGTTTAACAGTAGTGTAATCAGCGTTCCCAGTTTCTTTCCAGGCAAAGCAGAATATTTCAAACAACTCGTGTAAAAAATTTGCATTGTGAAGAAAGTACTGCGTATATGTAAGGTACGCATTGAAAAAGAAACTAATAATAAAAAATACAATAAGTACTTTTTATTATACTAAGATATGCATTCCTTTTTTTTCACACTTACGTATTTCTCTACCCAGACCATAAAGTAGCATCCCGAATGTATCTTGTGTTTATAAATATATTAAAGATCGAATTATGCAAGACACTATCTTACGTACATTAGTAAGTAATTAGAAATGACCCAAATTGTGAACCCTGTGAAACTCCCATTTCAAACAACGAACGAACCATAAAATCTTTTTTTAACCCTCTGCAATCATCCTCCTTGAACGAAAGTTTATAATAATGTTAGTGTTTTGTAGTACAGATAATTGTAACCTGTACTAAAAGAAACTAAAAGTGAAAGAGTAATTAATACTGATACAGAAAAAATGACATTTTTCTAGTTGGTTCTTCTTGGAGTAGTCTCGAAGATTTGAGAGATGACATAATTTAGAATTTCAATGGGTTTTAAGATGGGTACTTACCTACTTACTTTCTGAATGGACCGTTATGCAGGTAATAAAGTCTATTTACAGACATGTCACGGATTAAGCAAACGCGAAGCTTCCATATGTATATTAGGTACAGCACATTCGTTTACAACAAGTTAAAAAAATCTCGAACTACATAGGAATATATAATTGTGAGTGTCAATCTAGTTAAAGCTAAATTCGAATTGAGGAATGTTGATAACTGATGAGCTGTTAATTTCCATAAGCTGATTTTTTCTGTTCCAATTATCATCTTAACAGACGCTTAGCGAATAGTTTGAAGATTAGCGATTGAGCGATGAAATCAGTTTAGTAATTTGATAATATTATATGTTTTTTATCTAAAAGAGTTTCTACAACGCAAATAATTTTCACCAAAACTACAAAGTTTTCCATAAATAAATAAAAATTCCCGGCCAAGTGCGAGTCGGACTCGCCCATCGAGGGTTTCGTTCTTTGTAGGTACGCAACATAAACGGCTGTATCTATTTTGACGTTAACTTATAAGTTTGATTTTGTCAACATCAAAGGACCGACCTTTAGTAGACCTGAGTGTATGGTTTAACAGACACGGTTCAAATTTGTATGGAGGGTGGTAGTGAGTCTCCGGCAGACTCCAAATTTTTATGAAATGTAGTTCACTTAATTGTAAATCGTTGGACAAAAAAAGGTGAATTTAAAAAATCTAAAAACCCGACTGCTGAAATATTACTTCAAATGAAATCTGAAAAGAAAAAAACAAATCCAGCAGTCTATAATTCTGTTAAGTAAGGAACAGAGCTACTTCAACAGTCGGGACCCATTAGATATTCAAGAATGGATAAAAATTTTCAATAATGGGTCAAGACTGTTAAAGTATCTTTTTTTACTTAACAGAATTATAGACTACTGGACTTGTTTTTTTTTCAGTTTTTATTTGAAGAAATATTTAAGCAATCGGTTTTTTTTTATTTTTCCTTTTTTATTTCACACTTTTAGTTAGGATTATAAGACAGTTTATACCGAAATCTTGTCACTTCAGTTAGGGAATTAATATCGCGGGAATTATCAGGACAAGGTAAGTACCTTGCGGTGGTCTAAACGATTGATTTATTAAGACATATAGAGACGGCCTCAATTTTCGCAAAAATGTGGGAAGTTAAATCAAGTCGTTACCTATATAGGTATCTAGTCCATGTAAATTTAATATTACACTAGTACTTATTTAAAAAGTCATCTTTTGCTTATGTTTTTTTAGTGGTTTAGGAGTAAATATAAAATTCATTAAACTTTTATCCGTCGACTAACTAAAATTGGCAGTGGTTGCATTGTCATGTCAACGTCCGGCTCTAATCTTGTGATATACAAAAATGCAGTGTCATATCCACGTCATATCCTAGCCTCATAATTTGATATACCTAAATAATTCACAGAAACCAAATATGTAGATTCCAGAGGTTAACTTCAAATGTTGTTAATCACCCTATATACAATACCAATCAATGACGTAAATGTGGCAGGTTTACGAAAGCAATAATTCCCGTCTGTTGTTTTGGACACTGGTGGCAACTGCCTTAGATCGCTAAATTTAATAATTATGCAGTCACCAAAGAAAAGTGTATAATATTTGATTTAAACTAAAGGCGCAGAATAAAATTTTCACATTTTTCATTTATAATATCAAAAGTTGCGCCAGAATCAATGACATACTGTATATTATGTTCCGTTGGAGTGCATGCAGAAAATGCTAAAATGCTAGATCAGTGCTTGTGGCTTACTTTTCATTTCTCGAGTTACTTCGTTTACATCTGTTTTAGCTTTTACCCTCCCTTTTGCCCTCGCAAAGTGCCCTTTTTCGTTGCAGATGTAGCATTTCAAATCACTTTTGTTCATTGACGAGTTGAATTGTTGGTATGTTTCTTCAATCGCTCTATTCTTTTTTTTTTGTAAATTTGAGAACAGCGTCTGGTAATTTACTTTTAGTGTAGTCTAAAGTAAGTTCTATGTTTGACGTTTCTAGTGCTGTTATAACTTCTTGGTATTTAGAACCTTCTAGAAATAGTCAATAGTAGGTGACATACCTTGTCCTACTTTGTTAATTTTCCCTCACTTTTTATATCTCTTAAGATGCGATCGAATTCGTTAAAGTGATCTTCTAAGTCGCTATCTCTGTGTTTCATAGTTAAAAGATTCTTGCTTAAATACAATCTACTTAGAGTGCTTTTCTTCTCGTACATTGATCTTAGAGCTTGGATCATTTCGTTAGCAGTATTGCAATCTTTTATATACTGTATGTGTTTATCTTTAATAGTTTGGACTATTACACTCTTGGCTCAGGCCTCCTTTTTTTTAAATTGTTCTTCTTTCATATTAATTTGAAATTCTTCTTTAGTTATGTTACTATCTATTACATCTTTACAATATTTGTCTTCCATCATCATCATTATCCCAAATAGCCAGTTTGAGAAAATAGTGCTTTTCAGTTCTTTCTAGGCACTGAATTGCACTTGCCATATTACGTTGTAAAGCCATTTTTTTTGCAACCTACAAAACAAAACTTTCCTAAACTAATCTTTGTCAATATGACTTCATTCACTAATATTTTAATTACAGTCAGGGCAACAAAGAAAAAAATTGGATTATTAAGTCTTGCTTATTCAATCAACGACCTATGCTATTGAAACAAATCACATCTACATCGAGTCCGGAAGTAAGTGAGCGAGAGAAGAATCGGACATGACACTTTTTTCTAATTTATGGCATATGACCTAACATGTCCAACTAAAGTCATTCGAGCCAAAAACAAAAAATCTTATGGTTCGTCAATGACTTTATAAATCAGCATCAATCACCTATAGCTTTTTTTGTGTAAAACACTTGCAACTTCAAGACGTCTCCTGACTCCTGATTGAGACTATAGTTTGAAGAAGTCATTGACACTATAAATTATTCACCCAAAACAGTAGTGTGTGTGACTTTGATTGCAATCCCAGATTGCAAACAGCTCTCGTGACGCTATGCTGTCTGTAGTTTGTAGAAATCGCGCGATCGGTACCTGAACAGGCTCAGATGCGCGCGCGCCTAGGGCCGGTCCGAACGTCGCCGTCAGTGTCTCACTCTCATAGCTTGCAGTAATATACTTTATCGTGTGTGCCACAAGTTGATGGGAGCCGGTGTTAGATCGACCGGTGAGTAACTAACGGTGTTATCGTGAAAGTGAGTCAAAGTATTTTAAGTGAAAACCGTTAACATCGCTGATATTAATGTTTGGAAAAAGTTCGAGTATTAACATATTTGAAACAAACGTTTTTATTTAAAAAGGTGTTAAGCTTATTGTAGTACATATGTATAATATTGAAATAACCTAATAATAACATCCAATGAATTCCTAACCGTAAAGTAGTCAGATATAACACAACATAAGAAATCTCATAACAGCTCTTCCGACAAAAGATTGAAGCTAACAATGTCTCTAAAACAGAATTAAAGTTTTCACCAAAGTACTTTTAAATAGTTTTGTTAATGCTTCTGCATAGGATGGAATTCGACGTAGGACCTACAATAATCAAAAATCTTTTTTATACTTATTTAAGAAAACATTGCAGCAATTAGATTGATATTACCCTAACTGATCATCATTGACATTCAACTCGATTCCAATGAATGCTTACTATACCAGTGTCACGTAAGTCACTCACGATCATGGTCAAGGTCATCGAATGTGTGTGTGATTTAATCAAATTTCCTTATTATTTAAATGAAACCTCCTGGAATATATACAACAAACACATTGAAAGACAGACGCCGTGAAATTTGGTAACGTTAAAGGAAATTAACTTTAAATAACAATTTCTATTTAAATTCTAATTAACCTAATTATATCTAAATTCTATTTCTTTATTTAATATCCAATGTAACATATCGAAGATTTTATGAAATTTATATACATAAGATTGAAACTAAATTTTTCGAAAACCTTAAACATAAATAAGACTGAAAATAACTATCAAAAGAATCTAGAGATAGGAAAACAACAACGAGGAATTTAACACTTACAATCGTCATAATCCAATAAGAAACATTTGACCATCGAAAAGTGAGAAACAAGTAAGTAAGTAGGTTGTGGAAGACAAACAGTTAGCGGAGTTCACGACCTCTGTTATGCTGCAATAACCTTTCACCCACTTGCACCAAAAGATTAATATTCATCAAGAAGTTTGATTGACACCGCCAAGAGCCTAATAAGCTACTAACATTTACTGTGTATAGGTATTATATGTTTATGTGCGGCCATTTGACGAATCATTACCTACATAGGTACTTTTAGAGTAAAAGTTTCAAGGAACATCAATTAATTTTTAAGTTCGAATTAAGCTGATGCTGTAATTTTTTTGAGATGGAATTAGGAACAAAGCTAAGAACGTACCCATATGATCAATTCGTAGTTGTAGAATGAAGGACCCGACTAACGCTTTTAATATGTTTCATACAAAACCGAAAAAAAATAATTTCAAATAATTAGTGAAAACCTCCTTAATTCACAAGTTAAATTAGCTTGAAATGTTTAAAAGTGGAGCTTCTAAGTAAAATATTTTCCTTCACATTTCTTGAGCGTGCGAGTGATTTTACGACGTAACATTCCTGGAACCAGCGGGTCCATGAACCCGTCTGCGTAATATTGCAAAAGGAAGCAATCAAACGTCAACAGGACGGACGGCTTCGCACGATTGCAAGTATGAGATCGGTTTAGCTTTGACCCGATATGGAAAAAGAATAACAAATATGTATGTACGTACATATGACACAGAGGAAACTGCGGATAGTTCCTGGATTTCGTTCCCTCATGGATACCAATTTTTGTTCTCATTAAATCTTTAATAGTACTTACCTAGCTATCGGAATTTTTCAAAGATCTATCTTAATTAATTCATTCATTCGTTCTCACCATACCAAGATTACTAGATACTTAGGTACATATGAGCTATTTTAGAAAATTATAATAATTTGGATAGATAATTTCCTTATACTTTTAGTACTATTATTACCAATAATTGCCCACTGCACCCAATCCAGGATAGTGAAAGTTTTAGTAGGGAGGTATTTGAATTAGATTCAATCCCCGTACCCCGTACCTCAATTCCCGTACTTATTTTCGAATATACAGCCGTAATCTCAAATTATTTTGTCAATGCATTCATATTAACACCTTCTATATCTTATCATCTATTTGGTATTTATTATATGGGTATTCTGATCACCGATCACTAAAACTGCAATACGAGTTTTTTTAATGATTTTTATATGCAATATCATTGGGATTGGGAGAATCGTGTTTTCTGTATCCTACCGTCAGTTTGTTTTGCTACTTCTCAAATTATTCGAAAATATTTAATAAATTAAAGGAAAAAACGACAGACGTTACCTATAAGCCGCAGCACGTTATTCTAGCGCTGACCGTTATTGCGCAGTAATAAAAATTAAGATGTCTTGGAGGGAAACGAGGTGCGCGGGTGGCGTGCGTTGCGCCGATTGGCTCTCTAGTCGTATCCATGCGCAGCTATCCTCTCCGCGTTTTGTTCAGCGCTTGAGTTACGTGCCGCGCCCTGTCGGTGTAATTGCTATAATTTGATTTACTAAATATTAAAAATAATAGTGACATCAATGAAGCATTTTTAAGACAAATAAACTTCTAAACGTGAGTTTTTAACGATACAGCAAAGCGTTGAGCATAAAGTAAATGAATAATATGTGTGTGCAACAAAAATCTATTTGAAATTTACTTCAAAAGATGATCACGCCTCAAATTGCTGGACTGCTTACTTTTATCGTTATCAGAAAAACTCATTCGGTTTATACGTAGGATTGTGTAAATAATTGTGATTATGTAATCCGTTCAAACCCAGATTTTAAAGCATATAAATACTGTAGTATTGATTCAATCGGTGCGTGAGTAATATGATAACTATCATTTGACATTTTTTAAACAATGCCGTCTCTAATGAAACTGTAATCCGTCACTGACTGCGACCTAAAAGATCTATTGTGATTCTCCACTCAATAACTATATCTCTTTTAGACTGAAAGCTTAGCTTTTTGAGGTTTGATTTCCACTGGTCGTATTGTGGATAACAGACCCACATAACAGTACTTACCCGCCGTACGTAGTACTTTGTGCCCATAGAAGATGGTTTGGTGTTTCACGCTCTTACAGTAACTGCAAACACTAGTATTACTAACTTCAAATAAAACTCAGTTTAGTGATTCGAGATTCAGCGTGAAGAGGTAACTGACACACATACAGAAAGACAGACAAACACACACAGGCGTATTGCGTGTATTAAAATTAAAGCAACGTTAATGATAACATCAGTGTTGTCAAAAATCGTCAATCCTTTTTCTAAATAATTATGGCCACTTGGCCGTCTAATATTCATAAGTATATAAATTAGTAACTACCTATAGGGATCATGGAGCAAAACACTCTATGCTGTTTTAAGAAGCGATTTGGTTCTAACCAACTATATATTCATAATCACAAATATCTTTAAAATAATTAGGATTGATCACGCCGGAGTGACGTCAATGATGTACCTGCGTGCAAACATTCTTGTTCGATGAGGACTTGATGATGATCAGATTCATGACCTAAGAAGGAAATGTTGTTTCCGGGAGACGATCATTGAATGAAACGATTACGATGTAGATAAAATGAAATAAGTTGCGATTGATAACCAACATACTGATTTAATAAATTAATGATAAGTTGAACACATCAGATACCTACAATACAATCAGTAAAGACGTGTTATTACAGGTGAGACAGTGTCTCTGTTACAATGTTTAAGTACACAGTATGTAATATTCTACTTTGAAAAAAATCCCGGGTATTTATCATAAATTAATCCACTAATAAATCTGTGTTTTTTATCAATAGATAAATATTTAAGTAAGAACATTTCATATTATCAACGTTCATTTATCTTATAACATTAATATTTTCATTAGATATTTATTACTTTAATCAATAAGTAATTAAAAGTGACGTCGTGGTCAGCCGTCGTACTTATGTAACTTTGGAAGAAAATTATGTTTTTCGGAAAGATACATACCTACTATCTCGGAGGAGCTCGATGGCGCAAGTGGTTAGCGCGTTCCGCAGCGATCGTTGAATTTAAGCAACTTTCGCAGTGGTCGGTCATTGGATGGGTGACCATAATTTACTATCTCGAGCTCCTCCGTGCTTCGGAAGGCACGTTAAGCCGTTGGTCCCGGCTGCATCTGCAGTCGTTAGCACCCACAAACCCGCACTGGGCCCGCGTGGTGGGTCATGGCCCAATCTCCCTATTCCATCCATAGGGAAGCCTATGCCCCAGCAGTGGGGACATTATTAGGCTGATGATGATGATGACATACCTACTTACAAATTGCTTTTATATTCTATTCTACATAATCAAAAGTTATGTAAACATTCATTCTTTTGTCTATCGCATCATCATTCACGCAGTTATCTACCTTTTCTTCAGTCTTCCTCTTCTTATCATCACATAACACATGACTCTTACCTCTTCTTAGCACGTTACCTCTGAAACTTTCTCATTCGTATTACTTTCTTATTAATTAAATGTACACAGGTACATTACCGGATGTTATTATTTTAAGAAAATTATGTTTTTGGAACGCCACATACTTGCATCAAAAATAAAATACAAACGCTTTATAGCCAACAGGGTATAGAAACCTACCAAAACAGTTTTTGACATTTTTTTTTGTTTTTGTACTATTCAAACAAAATTATGTATAATTTGAGGCACCTTCATAGTTTCACGAATGTCACGACTGCATTTAGGCAACTTCTTATTAGCAAGAAGCAGCTAGGTACTAAGTATTTTCAGAGATAATAAGAAAGACAAAGTAATGAAACATTTGGGTTAAATAGAATTAAGTTGTATTTATTGTTGCTAACTTAATGTTTGCAATCTAACAAGTAGGTGCACTTACGTATGCACTTACGTATAAACATCGATGCACACAAATGAAATTTTAATAAAATAATACTCGAGCTATTGTTTTATAATTAACACAAAGCTTTAAAAAAATTTTGCCGAACTTTATCTAGTCGAGATTAAACTCTATTCAAAGTTTGAGGCAGCAGATAGCGGCTTAGTTCTTTATTAAAAGTTACAGGAACATTACATTTGAATCATCAACAAAGTCTAAGTCAAATATGAATGACTCATTAAATCGCGATAATTAGCTAAAGCCGGTCGTGGTCCTTCACAAGACGAAGACGTGACCGACCACGGCCATGGTATGCAACTAAATATAACGGCTTATTGTTTTAACAGAAAGGAACTCTCAATTGGCAACTGTTTTACCGACGACATATCGTTGTGTTTTACATTCAATTAGTAACAATCTGGAATGGATAAAAGCGAACCCTTTCCCCCTTATTAATAAACAAAGACTACGCATGGAGTAGTTACTCCATATTTTGTCTCTGTCTATTGAATGACAAGTGGCATTTGAATGACATGAACAAAACACGGAGTAACTAGTCTAAGCTTATTCCTTGTTTTTTAGTAAGGGTATTTCAGTTTAAGTAGATAGTTTCTAAGAATAAGGTAATGAAATGTGCCACATAAACATATCAAGTATCGATTAGCAAAGCAATGATTGTTCACTATTATCATTATGGTGACCAGTTGTATTCCTTGGATCTTAAGTATTCCTGCATAGTGACATAAGGTATTTTGTGGTAATTTTACCTAAGCAATTATTTGTGATTTGTTATGTGTTGATATATATATTTGACTAGTTGACCACGAACATTTCAAGAAGAAAATAAGATAAATCCGTTCAGCCGTTCTCGAGATTTAGCAAGACTAACGAACAGCAATTGATTTATATATATAGTTATAAATAGATTATGATTACAAATTAACTAATATTAAAAAATAGAAGAGGGGCACACAAACAATAAACATGTCGTGTAATGAAGAGGAAAACTCAAAAACTAAGAATACTTTAGAACTTTTTGTAAAATACCAATCTTAAGTAGAATTTGATTTTCCTTGTGATGAATCACACACAATCACAATGAACTCATGTCATAAACCATCTTAAATTATTTATTATGTTTATCACGTTTTCAATTACCTACAAACTGATATTTGAGTCAGGATCTCTAATTGTATAAAATGTGACGAGAATAAACGTAGAGGAAATAGTCGTAGAATGAAAAGATTTTCATTCATTCATTTCATTTTTCTTATGTAGTGTAGAATAATGATCTTTTCAATGTCAATCATAATGAACTAAATCCCACGACATAATTGCAATAATTAATTGAACGTTTCCGAGTGCGCAATCACAGGATCACAACACACTAGAAAAAAAAGTTCTGGTTACACGCAGTCAATCCATCGTTCAGTTTTCCTTAACTTATAGACCCGTGCATTTTCACCATCCAATTTATCACATACTCCATCATATACTTACTTTATTTAATGTTGTTGAAATCAGTTAAAACACAGTCTTTCTTTTTCTTTCACAGACTAAGGTAAAGGCAAAATGCCGAAGTTGAAGACAGTACTAGTAACAGGAGGAGCCGGATACATAGGCAGCCACTGTGTAGTGGATCTTTTACAGGTGATGATAAAATTATTCTCTTTTATTCTATTAGCTAACCTAACACAGAGTGCCTTCATAAAATACGCAGTATCTCACAAACCATAGTCATTATCAGACAACGACAAAATTCACTAAAGCTAAGCGCAACATCTGCCTCGCAACCGTGGTGTCACGCACACATTATCTTGAGCAATAGCTGTTGCAAGGCCAAAGTGACATAATAATGAATATATAGCTAATTATAAATAAATATTATAGGCAGGACATGAAGTCGTGGCCATAGACAACTTCGTGAATGCCGTCGGTGACGAAAAGGGTTCACCGGCTCTGCAGCGCGCGGAAACCATCACGGGGAAGAGCATAGCATTCTACAAGGCAGACCTACTCGATAAACCGCAGATCATGCAAATATTTGATAAGGTAAGTAAACTTTACCAATAAATTAATGGACTAAATAGTAATATGTATAATCTAAGGCGTAATATAAACATAACACAACAGTATTAGATACCATGTCTTGCAAAAAAAAAAGATTCATTATTCTATGCCAGGAGGTAGCTAGGTAGACGGTCTAAGAAGGACTTGTGAGGAACCCAAGGTTATCGCCTAATTATTGATTGAGAATAAGCAACAGAAAATTATAACGCAAGATCCGCCGGCCGCCGTCTCTTTTGTTTAAGGAGCTATAATGAATATACTTTTAAATCTTAGCAAATTGTCCCAAAACAATTGTCCGTAAATATAATGTGTTTCATTCAGTTTGAATATAAATGTTGCATTGTTAGCACTTCAAGATGACCATTCACTTACTTGAAACGAAACGTTTAGGATGATTTGCATGAGAGATTCCTTAGATTTTGCGTTAAGGAGGACTAATTTAGAAAATTGAATATATTTATTTCAGCATCCAATAGACTGCGTTATACACTTCGCTGCCCTAAAAGCCGTGGGGGAATCAATGCAGCAGCCACTACTATACTACCAGAACAACCTTCTAGGAATGCTCAATTTGTTAGAGGTAAGTTTAAACGATTCATGGATAATTAGTTTACCACTGATCTAGCAAAATAACTGGATAGAATCCAGGATTTAATTTTTATTAAATTTCAGTACAGCTCCATCGCCATATTCAAAATACAGATGGACTTTCCAGATTATATGATGACTGTGTAATCTCAAAATCAAAAGAGTATATTATTGTCACATTTTAGATAATGCGCTCACACAACTGCTACCAAATGGTTTTTTCTTCATCGTGTACTGTATACGGAGAACCTGAGTACCTGCCAATAACAGAAACTCACCCTACTGGGAACATCACCAACGTGTACGGCAGGACCAAGTACTTTATAGAAGAAATGCTAAAGGATTTAAGCGTTGCTGATGAGGTAAGTTTTCTTTTAACTGAAATTTTAGCTGTAGCGTAGTACTTTCCCAGACTGCGCGCTCCAATTTGAGTGTCATTATGCGCTGTTTCTTTAAAATGGTAGGACTATCAATATTATGTAAAATTTTAAAAGAATGTCGTAAGGCATAAATATTGAATAGACAAACTATCCGATAAAATCAACAATAGCCGTAAAATGAGAAATAGAGAAAAAATCGAATCGTAAGAGTATAACACAGAAATTTGCCTAAATATGGGCAGTAAAATCTATTCATGTTCCAAGTTGGTTAAAGTTAACAACAAAGGCTTATTATTATGACTTATGAATGCGTAGCTGCCTATAAATAGGTGCCAAGGTACTTGACATAGTTCATCAACGAACTAGACAAACAGTTACCATGGGTAAATATCGTGGAATCTAAAATTAACCAGACTGCAGAACGGAAAAGTAATGTCATCGATAGACGACGTTTCTGAGGTCGCACCTGGTCTAGGGAACTACAAGAGTTCAAGCACTAAGATCACCGGATTTATAATCTAGTTTTCATTTTCATCAGGTTGTCTGATCCCATTAATTATATAGGGTATGATATAAATTGTAATTTTAATAGTTTCGAATTAGGTACAATAAGTGCCCACTATATTTTCGTGAGAAATAAGATAATCGTTCGTGAGAAATGTGAGAAATAACATAAAAAAATATGATAATCTAAAAGAGGGATGAACGAGATTCCCAGTAATCAAATTATGACTTTATTTGACGCAAATCACGCAATAGAAGAATTATCTAGATTTTTGTGCTAAAGCTTCTCAGATTTGTTAAACCAGCCTAAAATAGAAAACAGTATTTAAGTTAATCAGAATAATGATACTATTAGTTATCTTTCACGTAGGCGACGTAGGATTATAGGATTACAATAGTTCAAGAATTCCTTCCAAAATACACTGAGACTTGAATGTTTTTTGGTTTGCTACGGTTTGTATTACTACAACGGCCTAAAAGATGCAGACCATGTCATCAAGAGTCAAAACGAGGGTTACTCAGAATTTTTAATAATTCAAGCAATCTCAATTAGAATACCTAAAATTATAAGAAAAAGTATAATAGTATTTCTGATTATCTGATATGAAATTAAAAGAATCACTTTTTAACGAGTTAAGAAGCGAGTTTATTTTATAGGATATTGGAATCTGATTTGAATACAGCTGCTGATAAATTTCAAAAATACATAGATGACAATAAATTTATTGAAACTTACAGAAATGGAACATCATATCTCTAAGATACTTCAACCCGGTCGGAGCGCATCCCTCTGGCTTGATCGGGGAGGACCCAACCAAAGAGTTCACCAACCTCATGCCGTTTATGGCGCAGGTGGCACTCGGCAAGAAACCCGTGCTTACGGTGTTCGGCAGCGACTACAACACACCAGACGGAACTGGTAAGTGTGGATAGGACAAGAAAAAGTACTCAGTTCTATTGCGAATAGGCAGTTCAAGAAATATGATTCGCTTTTGAATTTCCGATGCTACGTACATTTCTGTGACAAACCTTAATAACTGATAATATCTGAAAACTTTCAAAGGTACACATAATATGAGCATTTGGAAGCAGTCTTTCAATCACAACTCCGAGTTTCATTAAACTATACCTAATTAATTGAATTTTCTTTTTTCCACAGGTGTTAGAGACTACATTCACGTCATGGATTTGGCCAGCGGACATGTTGCAGCGTTGAATTTATTAAGTAATAATCACATCAGACTTAAGGTAAGAAATCTAAGCTTTTAGAAATTTCTATATCATTCCTAATTATCTACTAATAGCTATATACCTGTGGAAAAACGTCACATTATAATGATCTGATCATAAAGTAGCTTTAGCACCTTGCGCAACTACAATACGTACTGAATAGTAACTTAGAAAAAAAACATAAATTTTACCCAAAACCTATACCTATCTAGAAAATTATTTTTACTAAACTGAACAGGCCAGACCTGCAATCGAACCCGGAATGCCCTGATTACGATAACACCACAAAAACCCCTCAACCATGTTGACAAAGCGACAACAAACAAACTCTAAAAGTTTGCCATTGATTAAGCTGTGAAATTATATTTTAATTGCAGGTGTATAACTTGGGTACCGGCAAAGGGGTTTCAGTCAAAGAATTGGTGAACGTGTTTGAAAGAGTGACGAACACAAAGATACCCCTGAAATACGTGGAGAGGCGACTAGGGGACATCACGGCGATGTGGGCGGACGCCTCTTTGGCAAAGGAGGAGCTCGGGTGGACAACCAGATATTCGGTGGAAGAAATGTGTAAGTAATACGGGCTTTTTACTACCATCATAGTAATAATGATGGGAGTAAAAAGTTAATCGGCAGTAACCGATGAAATGAATGCAATTGGCACAGGCCCCGAGCAGATGCTTGGGGGAGGCCTATGCTCGCTCAGCAGTGGGCGTCGTGTAGACGATTTTATTACGATTTCAAGGTTGTTAACAAGTATTCTTACAAATCGTTCTAATTGAGGCAAAATAAATTTAGTAACAAAAATTTACAATATTATATTGTCGGAGCAACTCAGTGATGCAGATGATGATATAAAGGCTGGTTTACATTATCTTAGTGTTTGGAAGAGTAGAGCAGTGGACTGCTTTAGTAGATTTGGTCCCATTCCATTGCAATTTCTTCACCTGGATGGTCGAGCAATGTCCTGTAACACCGAATTTTTTGCTAATTGATGCACGCTTCCACCTGCCGGCACTAATGGTCTCTACTAATCTGTTGCCTTCACATTTTACACACTGCGAGTACCTAAACCGACTCGTTTTACCATTTTGATTTTAGTTGGAATTATACTATTATATTGTGCATGTCGCTGGCTGGAAACTGGTGTCAATAATGACATGATTCTCCAAACTTATAACTAAATTTAACATCTGTCTCATTTTCATTCTGTATAGAGAATGAGAAGGTTACACTGTTGTCAAATTTAAATTTAGATTTAGGAGAATCATGCCAGAATCGACACCAATATCGTTTAGAAAGACTACCTCTCGTTCAGCGCGCGACCGCGCCGTTTCCGCACTTCCGGGTTCCGCTGGAACGATTGGATTATTTTGCCGATTTCTCTGTTATTTTGTAAGAATACCCTGTACAAACTATATATATTTGGATTCTCCATAATATTTTCTATAAAACAGTGTCTACACAATTTGTCATTTCTATAAACTATTTTACCTTGCGGTAAACATGGGTATAGTATGGTAAGGTAAAAATAGCTATGTTTTCGAAATTTGAAATTTTTTATGTCTTTGGTTATTTGTACATTATAGTATAACTACCAAAACATAATTTAAAAAAATGTCATATCACATTATGTGTTTATAATATTATCACTTCATTTCAGGCACCGATTTTTGGAGGTGGCAATCTATGAACCCCGACGGATACCCTAAAAAGATTAAAACGAACGTGATTGTTAACGGCAAAAGTTAACATGCGTCATTAAAAAAATCTTTTATCCATAATAAATTATTACTTTAATTCACAATTTGAATTTCTATTTATCTACATAAACTCGATAATACCAACTTACCGACTAATATTTTAAGAGCGAAAGTGTGTTTGTTTGTTACGCTTTCACGTCTATCCTACTGAATCGACGGCTTACTTTTAGTTTAAATATAGATGGGAACGTGGTAAAGTTACATTCTACATTTTTTGTAAAAATAACAATACGTTTAACAACTACGCATTGAAATATCATAAAAAAATAATTGCTGGAATAGGTAGAGAGGCATCTCACCCTCATGAAGCTTTCACATGAAACCATTCTGATTTAGCTCCACTTCCAGCAAGTTGGCTCTATCTCAATTCAACTTATACTAACTTTCACCTAAAGAAAAATGACAAAACAGTATGCTTAGATTGGAACATGCAGAGCAGGCAGAGTTCAATGTTATTAATTCTAAAACCTTTCGTTTTTCCACTTAAGACTTTTATAAGATCTGCGAGGTTCTATCTGTTCGACAACTGCTTTTACTACATCTAACTTTTAAAATATAATACCTCAAGTTATAATCCGAATCCGCAGTGAAATCAATTTGCCCGCGTATGCATTGCCTGCTTATTCGTTGGCAGATACGATTTCCTTTGTTCATCGTTCAAGGCAAAATTGTCTGGATTGCCTCGTCATGCCGTTTGCCAGGCGCCTATAAACTTACACTTCTTGCACAGACACAGATGGAGGTCACAAATGCCCTGTTACCGTGAACAGCTCGAATAAGTATGTAATCTTAAAACCCCAGAACCGAAAATGAATTTAAGCTAGTTACATTAACTCTGAACTACTCACAATTGTACTGAACTAAATACCTACTGTCTAACAATAACTACATATTATTTAATACATATAACTAGTAAAGAAATTTAGTCTAATTCAATAATAAACAATTTATATAACTTCATTTTTATTTTCAATCAGTTCATAGAGTGATTCATGCTGCCATTTGAGAGGCTCATATCCTACACTAGTTGTATTAGGAAGAAGATACCTTGCGAAGAGTTCCAAAACTTCTGGTTTTTTGACATTAACATAAGGTGTTAGGAGATCTGAAACAAAAATTATTCATAAACATATATTTTTACATACATAGCCCACGAGAATCTGCCCGATGCAATAGCCCATTATGGAAAAGGAATTGCAATAAATTTTAAGGTAGCAGGAACTGAAACACTACAAATCTTATATTGTATTGCATTGCTTAAGTAATTGCATTTAGTTGATAATTGATTGTGGTGGAATTTATAATAATTAGAATACTTTTTGATTGTTCATTTATTTAATACTTACCTAACAATGGTGGTTTATGAGAATGCAAAGCACTGGGAACACTGATCAGTATTCTATCTTTTGGAATTTCATTAATTTGCCCTACTTTCCCAATGATAAGCCTCTCATATGGTTGTTTGTTGCACCCTGAACCAAATGCACATATGGGCTCTAAGTCCACTGTAACTTTTAACCAATACCATGTTGTGACATACTCCAATCCCCAAGCAGGGAAAATTTGGGATTTTACTGCTTCAATACAGCTGGGAGCATTAGTACACCACACAGCTATTAAACAGTTTTTAGATAGAAGTTCCTTCACAGGTAAACTTGCAATGTCTTCATTGTACATCATGGAGTAACTGAAAATCAAAAAGAAATCTACAGGATGGTCTAACTAGTGACGTCATCAATTTTTTTTAGATGGGTATCCGAAAATACCCTTAATTAGTTTTCGAGTTATAATTTTTTTTGTGTATTTTTAATGATTTCTGCCAGCGAGATTTCAAAAATTCATATCTTTTTTCGTAGTACCTAGGTATTTTGCAGTCTTTTTTTTGTGACATGATTGTCTTGAATGTTGTTTTAATAAAAAAATAACTCGGCTTCCTGAAATTACTTAAAATTAATCAAAAAAGGCTTGAAAGTTGGAACTTTAGTTTTTAGTAGGATTAACTCAAACATTCAACTTTAATTTAAAAATACAAAAAGGAGTTTCTATAGCTTCTGGCTAAAATTAAAAGCTCCACATAGGGTCAGTTCGCCTGTTCGCGTCCATCGCCCAATTCGCGTCCATTTTACGGATCTCCCTTAAAAAATCCCCAAAAATAAGTAAACTAACACACCAATCAAGCTGATACCAGTATTAAGAAGATAAAAAGCAGATCAAGAACGAAAGCAGGAAGCAATACGAAAAAGAAAGTTAGAACGAATAGAGAAACAAGAACAGAGTTTAAAACACTCTCAAACGGTTCGTAAAACTGCTCCAAAACGAAGGAAGAAGATACATGCTCTTCAATAAGTCACACAGGAAATGGTAAATAAGGAATTTAAGAAAGAAAATTTTCTGAATGTGACGATATACTAATTTCAGATGTAGAAGACGACGATGATAAAAACAAAAAATTCTTAAAAATATCACCCCTATATTCTTTTTCTAAGGTGGTGGACGCTAAATGGTCCACGGGTGGATGCAATTTGGATTTTGTGGACGCAAACTGGGTGAAACGCCTTATTCCAAAGTTCTCATCTATTTAAATAAAATAACAACAGATGTTTCGAACAAAACTGAAAGTTAATCTTAAAATAGACTATATAATGAACACATTACATAAATTTTTCATAGAAATTAGTGCTGGGATATTTTTATTATCGCCGTCAAACTTTCCAACTGTACTAAATGGACGCGAACAAGCGAACTGACCCTACTTCTAAACTACCAAAACCGATAAAAAAAAATAGTACTTAATTATTATAATAATTTCGGTTTCACCACTAAGGTTTAAAATGTGAGCAAGAATTATTATATTATATATTTTACAGGAATTTCAATTAAATTTAATTTGAAATTACATTTTTAAGTTTAATTTACCATAAGAATGATAAAAAGTAGATAAAATATTTTTTAATGCTGAAATCATGTTTCAATGTTTTTAGCCTATACGCATTCAAAGGCCAATTACAACAAAAATAGGCTGATTCAGTACTATTTTTTTTATGATTTTTGGTAGTTTAGAATAATGCGAAGTTTTTAAACTTAACCAGAAGCTATGAAAACTCCTTTTTGTATTTTTAAATTGAATTTGAATGTTTGAGTAAATCCTTCTAAAAACTAAAGCCAACTTTAAAGCCTTTTTGAGTAACTTTAAGTAATTTCAGGGAGCTGAATTATTGTTTTTTATTAAAACAACATTCAAGACACTTATGTCACAAAAAAAAGACTGCAAAATACCTACTACAAAAAAAAATTGGAATTTTTGAAACCTGGCAGAAATCATTAAAAATACACAAAAAAAATATAACTCGAAAACTAAGAAAATTTGTGGAACATACATGGGGTATTTTCGGATACCCCTGACTGCGAGGAATCTAAAAAAAAATTGTTGACGTCACTAATTAGACCACCCTGTATAACTGACATCATAAAATGAGCAGTGTTAAGCCGCAAGAGAATATAATATGAAGATAGCATAAATGAGTTCTGATGACCAATGTCAAAGTATAACTGTGAAAGCAAAAAGTGACCATTACTCATTTTGGTGATCAAACTAACTTGAACTTGTAAAATGTCAGTTGGTTGATCTGCGTAAGAGTGCCCAAATATCAATATCTTTAAGGCCACACAGTCTGGAATATGGAAGAATGCATGTATAAATTTTTTGCACACCTTAATTTATCATTAGCAGTTTTCAGTCTTCTTATGTACTTGTTCCACCAAGGAGGGTCTGCTATTATTATATCATATTTACAATAGAGGTTTGCACACTGCACTTTAACACAATTGCAGTAAAATCTAAAAATAAAAATATATATCAGCATCTCAAGTTATCTACATATAAATTATAAGCTTTAATTATTTAATTTTGAGATTTATTTTTTACTTTAACCTGCATTTTGGTGGTATGAAGAAATAATCATTTTCAATTTTACATCTTAGGGATGTTTCGCTATTGTTGCCACCGCTTTTACCTGCATAATGAAAAATTGTTGCTTCAAACAAGTTCTGAGACAATTCACGAACTTCTTTTGTGGTTAAATCATCAAATTCTTTTTGTATTTTGTCCTCAGTATTACATAGTAGATTTTCTTTAAATTTTTCGTAGCGATTTTTCACATTTATTGTCTGAAAATAGTGTTCCTAAAGAAATCTTCAAAAAACATGTGCAGTGCAACAAAGAATGAAAAACATAGTTAATTATTATTATAAGAAACATAGGTACCTACCTCAGCAGTAAATATATTTTGGTCATGTTTTCTTTTTCTATTATTTACTGAGTTTTTGGTATTTTTGATGCAGAATAATTTATTATTAAATTTTATTGTGAATTTCTTTTCATTTAAAACGATGTCTTTGTAAACATTAAATATGAATTCATTGTGATCCAATAAGCAACAATTGTGATAATTATATCGTAAAGCCATTATGTACAAAAATATACATTTAATGCAAAGAGTACTTTTTATTAATGTTATGACTAACAAACAGATGAACCGATCTTAAAGTGAGTTATTTTTAAAAATTTATAACTTTTGTTTTGCTTGTTTTCAAAACAGTACAGAAAACTTAGTAGTAGTATCTCTAACTAGTCTGTGCTTAGTAGTGGACACAGTCAGGGTTACCAGATCATAAAATCAGAAGCCGGAGAAAAGTGATGTTTTTCTTGAAAAATCCTGAGATTTTTCAGTTTGAGAATTTTCTCTCAAACGTACTTAACAATTCAAAAAAGTCGTAATATTATCGTTTATACTCTGCTGATACTTTTAAATCAATATAATTTGAAGAGCTTAACATATGGGGCATTGTATGAATCCATAATTAAAGTAAACACCTTACTTAAAAATGTATCTTCACATATTAAGTATAATAAAACTGATTAAGTTAAGATTAACTTGGATAAAAATGTACTGATTTTAATTGTGCAATTATTACCAATAGAAGATTATTTTTAGTTTGTTTAACTTTTTACTAAAGAGATCTTTAAAACGTAAGCTGTATTTTATTGGAAATTCAAAAAATCCTGAGATTTCATGAGATTTGCAAAATCCAGCCGCAATCCTGAGAAGAGTCCAAAAATCCTGAAATCTCAGGACAAATCCTGAGATATGGTAACCCTAGACACAGATTACTATACATTCACTTTTTGGCGGGCTTTTGAACGCACTAGGCGCGATTTTTGATTTTCTTTTCAAAAAGTTTTATTTTAAGTTTGTTTTCTGTATATATCTTTGTAAATAGTATTCATAATTCCTTAAGTGTAGATAAATGTATCATCATGCCGGACGGGCACGACCCGCCCGGCGGGACTGAAAAAAGAAAAACTCCAAATAGGACCGAAGTAGATCCAGGATCATCTGATGATTTTTATAAGCCTTTCATCAAAAGCGGATACAAAAGGTTGTTTCCTGAAAATGCGGTGAGTGCTAATTACAGTGTTTTCGTCGAAAGCTGTAAGGAGGATGAAAAGTTGGGTAACAATAATCCTATCGTCACGACCAATCTCTTCAAGAATGAAATTAAGGGAATATCTAATATAAGAAGAGTCAACCCGACCAAAATTTCAGTTACGTTCTCACAGCCTAATAATGCCAATAATTTTTTAAAAAACGAAGAATTTTTGAACAAACATAAATTCAGGGCATATATACCAGCTGCTATGGTGGAAACCATAGGAATACTGCGTTTTGTACCCACAAGCATCAGCAACGAAGAGTTATTCAAAAAACTAAGTTCTCCTTATGAAATAGTTGCAGTGCGCAGATTCTCTAAAAAGGAAAATGGTACTGTCAAAGTTTTTAAAACTGTAAGCCTAACTTTTCTCTCAAATGTACTTCCGGAGCATGTTTTCTTAGATTTGTTTCGCTTTAGAGTACACGAGTACAATGCACCTTTGCTGCAATGTTATAAATGCTTCAAATTTAATCACGGCGCTAAGATATGCAAATCTATTCAAATATGCTCCATATGTTCCGAAGAGCATCATTACTCACAATGTCCAGACAATACAGTTGTTAAATGTGTGAATTGTCAGGGTCCACACCTTTCAATATCAAGAGACTGTCCAATCAAAAAACAAAGAATGGAAGAAAAGAAGAACAAAGTATCTTATGCAAATGCTATATTATCTAATAAAAATAAAAATGATACTAATTTAACAACTGATTATCAAAATAAATTTCCTAAATTACCTATTACAAAAAAAACATTACCATTGAAAAAAACACTGAACTCCAATTCTGTCCCCTCAACCGTTTTGACTTCTAACAGCGCAGCGGAAAAAGATAGTTTGCAAAAATTATCAAACGAAAAGATAATTGATGAAATAATTAACAATGATTTTATTCGTAAGGCTATTGTTGGCGCTTTGGTTGCCATAGGAAACGATGAGAGAGCTTTAACCAGTAATGTTATCCAAGAGATACTTATTAAAACTTTAAAAAAAGATCAATAATGGATAAAAGTCACATACGAATATCTCAATATAATGTTGAAGGATTTATTAACAAAAAACCACTCCTCATCAATTTCCTGCAGGAAAATGATGTCGACATTTGTTTATTGAACGAAACCTGGTTAACAGAACGTAGTAGGTTGTCTATTCCGAATTATGATATAATCAACAAAATCTCTGTAGGTGGCAGAGGTGGAGTTTCAATTTTAATCAAAGATTCTTTTAAGTACTCTGTTCCTTCAATTCCTTTCTATGAAGAACTTCAGTCTGTGGCTGTTACAGTATATACATGTAATGGTGATATGTCTATTTTATGTGTTTATTGTCCTCCTCGGAAACAAGGGAGGTCAAACTTCCAATGTAATAAATTGAAAAAGATTATTAACGATCTTCATAAGCCAATACTGGTCTCTGGCGATTTTAATGCGCATCACGTAGCATTTGGTTGCCTTTCGTGTAACAGACGAGGAAACGAAATTTACAATATGTTTGATGAATGTGATCTTTGCATTCTGAATTCTGGCTCTCCAACCACTGTTGGCCGCATAGGTCAAAATCCTTCAGCAATAGATGTCTCTTGTATAAGTCCTTCTTTAGCTCCATTGTGTGACTGGAGTGTACACTCAGACCCTATGGGCAGCTATCATTACCCAACAGTTATAGATATTCATATTTCAATAGTAAAATATGAAATAGGTGAACCCACTGAGCGGTTTCTTTATAACAAAGCTAACTGGGACAGTTTTTATAATGACAGTGAATCTGCATTCACTGATATCATTATTGACCTGAATAATCCATTGAATATATACAATGACTTTTGTAATATTTTAAATATATTAAAAAACAAACATGTACCCAAGTTGAAAAAAAGCACTCGACATCTTATAAAGAAACCTGTTCCATGGCGGGATGATAGCTGTAAAGAAATTGTGATCAAATGTAAATGTGCATTAAATTATTATAGGTCTCATCCAACTTTGGAAAATTATATAGAATATAAAAAAACAGATGCCCTTAAAAAAAGACTACTTAGTGAAAAGAAAAAGAACAGCTGGTTAGAATTATGTGAATCCTTTAATAGATACACTCCAGTTAGCACTATATGGAATTACATTAGACGATTCAAAAGAGTTTCTTGTTCTAAGAAGCCAAAAAATTCAGAATGGATTCCTTCCTTTTTCAATAAATATGCACCTGTTACTCCACCTGAAAAAGAAATTAATTTAAATACTTTAAAGTTGTCTTTTACCAGTAATGGCAGTCCTAAAGCTTACTTCCTTATAGAACCTTTTTCTTGGCATGAGTTTATAACATCTTTAGAATCCAGAAAAGATACCACTCCTGGTCTTGATGATATCAGATATACCCTTATTAAAAAATTACATATAAATGCACAGAAGAAACTACTACTAATATTCAATTTACTTTGGAATCATGATATCCTTGGAAAACCCAATGTGTCATCCCAATATTGAAACCTGATAAACCAATAGAGGATAGTGATTCCTATAGACCCATCTCATTATCTTCTTGCATAGGTAAGATATTTGAAAACATTATAAAACTCAGATTAGATTATTATATAGAACAAAACAATATATTACCTGCAGAACAGTTTGGTTTTCGCAAAGGTCGCAGTGCCTCTGAAAGTTTTACTTCATTGATATCAGACATAAGAACTTCATATCTTCAACATTCTGTGACTGTCTGTGCATTTCTTGACATCAAGGGTGCATTTGATAACGTTAACCCAGCTGTTATGGTACAAGTACTGCATGATGTAGGCATTCCGGGCAAACTCTGTAAATGGGTACACAATTTCTTATATGAGAGGGTCATGTACATAAAGCACAATAATATTCTTCATGGTCCAAGATATGTATACAAAGGTACCATGCAGGGGGCCACTATCTCTCCCCTTTTGTATAATATTTATACTTGTCAACTCAAGCAATTTTTAAAGGAGGAAAATGTACATTTTCTGCAATTTGCAGATGACCTAGTTGTATATACTGTAAATAATAATGTAATTATAGCTGTAAATAAACTAAATAAGGCATTATCTGAAATATATAATTATTATTTTAATAGACTTAAACTAGAAATAAGTAGCAGTAAAAGTTCTGCTATGATTTTCTCTAAGAAATGTATTGATATACCTGTTAATAGTCACATTATATATAATAGTTGTCCTCTACCATGGGTACAAACCCACAAATTTCTTGGTATATGTTTGGATCCAAAATTAAACTTTCAAAGCCATTTTGACAAAATCATTAAGTCTGCTACACATGGGTTAAATAATATACTTAGATCATTAGCAGGTGTACATTGGGGAGCTGATCCAAAAATATTGTCAATGTTGTATAAAAGCCTAATAAGAAGCCACTTTGATTATAGTTCTGTAGCTTACATGAATGCAGGTACAAGTTTATTAAAAAAACTAGACATTCTTCAGAATAGGGCACTTCGAATTATAACAGGTGCAATGTGCTCTACACCTATTCATGTAATGCAAGCTGAAAGTTGCATCCCACCTCTTATACTACGTCGTTTAAAATTAGCTGAAAGATTTTGTATTAAAAATGTATCATCTAAAATGTCATTTATTGTAGGTAAACTATTGCCCCTAGAGAGATTTAAGAATATGCAAAATGTTTCTTACCATAACACAGATCTACTTAAATCTGGTAATACTCCAGAATTGGTGGCAATAGCAGTACATATACATAAGACATTTGAAAATTTATATATAAACAGTCTTTGGCCTTTGTACCAAATTCCTTATAATGCCTTGTTAAACTTTATCTTAGAAGATGACATAATTCGAACCAATGCTGAATTAATGCAATTTTTAGAGAACAAATCCTTTTACAGAATTTACACTGATGGATCCAAGTCTAAAGATAGAGTAACATCAGCTTACTATGATGTTCAGTTAAATTTTAGTAAGTGTATATTGATTCCCAGTGATTGTAGTATATATACAGCGGAATGTAATGCTATCTATCAGGCCTTGTTATATATCTTAGGTTTAGAACATAACAATAATTTTCTTATTCTTTCTGACTCTCAGAGTGTATTAAAATCCTTTAGAAATAGTTATAGATATGATGTAAATTATTTAGTGTTATTTATTAAGCATTTATTGTATAACCTAAAAGAATCTGGCAAGAGAGTGCAATTTATGTGGGTACCTGCGCATTGTGGCATTACTGGTAACGAAAGAGTTGACGAAGCTGCACGAAGTACACCAAGTGAAGACCACTCTTTGTCTATGAAGGTTCCATTTACAGATTTTAAAGCCCTGTGTCATCATAACCTGGCATTACTGTGGAGAAAACATTGGGATGAAATTAGCAAAGAAAAAGGACAGTGGTATCAAAAGATCCAAGGAAGCCCGCCCGCCCAACCTTGGTGGAATAACAAAATGGTGCAATCTAGGAAATTCGTTACTACAATAAACAGGCTGAGATTTGGTCATGGGCAATTTCGCACTCACCTGCATAGACTGAAGATGACAGATGATCCAAAGTGTCCCCACTGCCAAGAAAATGAAGACCTACAGCACATAATTTTTGAATGTAGACGGTACGGACTACAGCGTCTAATACTTGTTGCTGAACTTGAAGCAATCGATAAGGTCGTCCCTAATACGTTGCAAGACTTACTTAACGATCTCAAGTATTTCAAGCCACTATTCAAAATCATCGTAAATACTGTAGACAAAATATAACAAGGAAGAGAAACAGTTTACTGTGGAAGTGAAAATTATGATGTGATGTGATAAACTCAATGACATTCTGTTATACGTGACAGTTGTTTTGTTTACTTTGTTTTTGACATGTTCAACGTTTGGCTTAAAAAGGACTAGAATCCAGAGCCGTAAAACATATTAATAAAAAAAAAAAAATTACTATACATGTAGCAAGCTATGGACTAGTGGTGTCGATCTAAACTTAAATTTGGTAGTTTCCAATTACAGCATTATAGCGCATTATGCGGCATAATGCTTAACGTTAAATGTTTCAACTACAGTAGCAACGCTTCGCACAATCAAGCACTTTCAAAGTAATGGGTGGTTTTCCAATAACAGAGTATAATGCGACTCAGTGGCGCACAATGCCGAATTATGCTGATGCTTAATTGGAACGTGAATTAGTTTTCAAATGCACCAGCAGAGTGCACTAAGTTCAGTGTAGAAAAAAAAGTCAATGTTTGTACCTTCATCCATATTTATATTTAATTTTTTAACACAGTTTGAATTAACTTTGATTATTTAAAAAAAAACTATAATGAAACGAAAGTTTTAATAAATTTTCAACAATAAACAATATTACTAACGATAACATATAAATAAAACAATTCTATCAATGGTGTCGATTCTAGCATGATTCTCTAAACCTAAACTTAAATTTGACAGCAGTGGTGCCAATTCTGACGTGATTCTCTAAACTTAAAACTAAATTTAACATCAGTCTCTCCTTTTCATTCTGTATAGAGAATGACAAGGATATACTGCTGTCAAATTAAAGTTTAGGATTAGAGAATCATGCTAGAATCGACACCAATGTATCCTTGTCATTCTCTATACAGAATGAAAAGGAGAGACTGATGTTAAATTTAGTTTTAAGTTTAGAGACTCACTCCAGAATCGACATCAATGCCAACTTAAAGGAAAAACACTTGTTAATTTTCTGTCTCTGAGTTGGTACGATTGCACGCATCACACGAAAGCATTACTTTTGAGAGTGCTTGATTGTGCGAAGCGTTGCTGTAGTTGAAACACTCAACGTTAAGCATAATGCGCTATAATGCTGTAATTGGAAAGCTACCAATGTTTTCGTGTGATGCGTGCAATCAATACCAACTCAGTGACAGAAAATTAACAAGTGTTTTTCTTTAAGTTAGCATTGATTTAAATGTATTATTTATATATTATCGTTAGTAATATTATTTTTTGTTGAAAATTTTTAAAGCTTTCGTTTCATTGTAGTTTTTTAAAAATAATTCAAACAGTGTTAAATAAATAAATATGAGTATGGATGAAGGTAAAAACATTGACTTTTTTTTTATTTCACATTTAAAATGTGAATACAATTTTATTTTAGAATTTGAATCTATAAACAAATTTATTTTACAGGAATATACTTTTGTAAACAGTGCAATTGCTTGATCGAATCATTTAATGACGCAGGCAATCATCAATATTTTTGAGGAAAAGATGATTTTCAACACTGAACTTAGCGCACTCTGCTGGTGCATTTGAAAACTAATTCACGTTCCAATTAAAACGCGCTACTGACATGCCTGCCGCAGGGACTATCTAGGGTGTAAGAGTGGGGATAACCCTTAATTGCCTCCTGAATTGTCCTGTGTGTAGCGCGATTGGGCCAATTTCTCAATCGGTCGGTTAGTAGCTGTCACACGCAGGGCACGATTTCGATCAAGGCGGCAGATCATAATGAGCATGAAATTTGGACACGAGTGATCGAAATATATTTAGACCGGCCGATCCCACATGTATGTGAGATAAAAAAAACAAACATTATTTATATATTTTTTTAATTAATTTTAATTTTTTAAGTATGTGACTGCTCGATGTTTAAACCTAAAGAATATATTACTAGAAAAATAGAAATAGTTATTTTTTTAATTTTTTCTTGTAATATTTACTTTAGATTCAAACATTGAGCAGTTACAAGCTTAAAAATTCAAATAATGACTTTAATTGCTATTTCTTCTTTTAAATTTCTAATACTTGTAAAGGTATTCATTTGACATTGTGGGTTACATATAATGCGAAGAGATGGTGTCGCGGCCCTCTTGGGGGCTGCCACATACAGCACAATCCGTGATACAAACGTATCCATCGTGGATCGCGAGATTTTAGACGATAGGCACGTGACAAAGGGAGAATCGAATGACAGAGGGTGGTTAGTTACCACAGATTATATTGTATGTACCTTCAAGCACCAGCGAATGTCCGCCCATGGTTCTCATCACTTTCTTACTTCATCTGTAAGTATAAATAAAGTTATGACACCACTGCGTGGTGCCACTAAGTCCCGGAGTCACACCATCACAACGGTATGATTCCAGGATTCATAGAACACATAAATATTGTCATAAATGAGTATCAAGATTATCTGTAGGCCATTTACCCATGTTAACTCAAATATCTACGTTAGCTGTCTAAACGATGCGGAGATTTCCTAACATGACTTTCTGCCATGTATGTCCTACGCTCCTGCAGAGCATGAGAGCCAAGGCCGTCGCCTGCTCCCCACGCAACCCGTACATGTGTGCGCCCACTTATATGGCACTTCTATGGAACGCCTTCCATCTGACTCAGCCACTATTCCAGCTCCGTCCAGACAGCGCTGCGCATGCCATAACTCTCTCTTGTGGTCTTTCGGTAGGGTACCCTAGGACTTGCCTCCTGCAGAAGCACAAGCCCTCATATTTTTATATTGTTAAAATTATGTCAATGCCACAGGCGTTTCACGCCATTACGCCGCCGGCCCTTTCGCCGTGTGAGAGAGTACAGTTTGTCTATAAAGTCGTAACATTAAATGATGGCGCCATTAGTATGCATGTAGCAACCCTATACAGTCGGACCAAAATGATTTTGATACTAGCAGGTCATTCAAGTAAAATAGGTAATTAATAAGACACACTATACAGTCGTATTTTGTTTCTGTTTTATTTACAGGGTGGCCGGGGAGTTGACGTTCAAGCGTAAAATTTAGATACTTTATGATGAGGAGTATCCAAATCACCCCCCATGTATGTTCTACGATTTTGCGTAGTTTTCGAGTTATAATTTTTTAATGATTTTTTTCGTAATTTTCACCTAACATCAGTTTTCGATTTTTTCTCATTCTGTTGTACGTTTCTAGTTCAGTTTTTTTGTGATAACTGACTAACATAGTCTAACCTAGCACGCTAAAACTTATGGTTTATCTAGGCATTGCAGAATTTACTTAGAATTTGTTCGAAAGTTCAAAATTACGATTTGAGCTCAGTACACACAAGTTTTCAAAGTATCAAAAAAAATGTAAATGGGGGGATTTGGAGTTCAAAGTGCTTCCTGAGACATTAAACTTTAAAACAAGGCCAAATAAAGATAGGGTTAATGGGGGTTTATTTTCTGTAACTGACCTTCAAAGTAAATTAAGGCATTTTCAAACGTAAATAATTATTTTCTTTTATTTAAATCTTCGACTTTCTATGAGTTATGATGGATTTGAGTAAAACGCAGTTAATTGTTAACAAAATACATTTATTTAAAGCAAATTTGCAAAATTTCAGTTAAAAAATCATTAGGGTGGTGGCCTGGCAATTGGCCCTCGTCGTCCGATCCACCTGTTGGGGTAGGTCTGGTCTAAATGGCGACGCACTTGTGTCGTGTAATGACATGGCGCCCCGTCGTTCTGGAACACCATCGTTCTTCTTAATACAAGATTTACATCTTCCAGTAATATTGGATAGATTGTCTTCTAAAAACCTTTAGTATGTGTCGCCGTCTAATTTCGATGGCAATTCAAATGGGCCTATTAATTCGCCATTCAAAAAACCAGACCACATGTTCACGCTAAAACGATGTTGAAATGTTGATGATCTGGCGGCATGTGGATTTTCAACGGCCCAAATGTGAAAATTGTGGATATTGAAAACCCCAGTTCACTCAAATCTTGACTCGTCGGTCCACAAGATTTTATTAAAGTATCGCGGATCATCTTCCTCTTTCTGCAACATAGTTCTACAGAACTCGACTCTCAATTGATTTATCTGAAGGCTGCAACGCTTGTACTTTTTGTATGTGGTAGGCGTGAAATGATTCCTCACGCAAAATGTCCTGTATTGAAGATCTTGGTATGTCAAGGTTACGAGCTAATGCTCTCGTACTTGTGCTACTATTGCGTTGCACTTCTTCCAGTACGATTTCCCTGCGTTCCTAATCAACCCTCTGAATGCCTTCACCGCCACGTTGGCCAGGAATGCGGCCTGGGGTTAACGTATTGTGAGTATTAATGAACACACGATAGTCAGAGTAATGATCAGATTGCGCTCCGCCTCGGCGTTGAAGTTGATCCCTGTACAGTCTTGCTACTTCACGACCGTTGCCTTGTGCAACGCCGTAGAAATAATGCATATCTGCATGTTCATTCAGAGTGTAGGACATCACTCACTAAAACTACAGTCCAAATCGTTAGGCACAACGGAATCCAGTAACAAGCAGGGGTTAAACAAGTAAGCAGCGGCGGTATCAGTAGGCAAATAGTGGTCGAGAAAAAACGGCAAGACAAGACGAGTAGTAGTAGTAGTAAACACAGGGTGAGTACGACTGAGGGACGGAACGCAGGTGTACTCATTGTTAGCGTCAACGTCTCACTCAAACCTGTTTCTAATGTTACTGTACTTTTTTCATGGATAAAATCACAACAATGTAATCATACCTGTGTTTCTGATGAAATGTATGCATCTTGAAACTTGAAAATTTTGAATTTAGGTCATTAACAACTGTGTTTTACTCAAATCCATCATAACTGAAAGAAAGGCAAAGATTTAAATAAAAGAAAATAATTATTATTTTTCCTTGAAAAATGCCTTAATTTACTTTGAAGGTCAGTTACAGAAAATAAACCCCCATTAACCCTATCTTTATTTAGCCTTGTTTTAAAGTTTAATGTTTCAGGAAGTTTCTAAAAGCACTTTGAACTCAAAATCCCCCCATTTACATTTGTTTTCGTTCGTGCTGACATTAACCAACCCGATGTCAAAGTTATAGCGGGATGCGAGGAGGTTAACAGCTACGTGTATCTAGGATCTACGATCACCAACGCTGGAAGTTGCGAGGACGAAATCCGGAGACGCTGCGCCATAACTAGATCCTCAGTGG